GTGCCGAAGGTTCCTGCCAGGCGTGCCGATGGCAGCGCGCTGCTCCTCTCACCATCTTTCCGCTCAGCTCGCTTGCAGTGTTGGTCCAAATTCCGTCCAGAAAGGTGTCCTCTAAACATCTGGCTTCGGTTGGCTGCATGACGAGGATGTTCTGCACAGGTGCTAGGCAAGCTAGAGAGTCTCCTGAATGGTTCTTCCACCAGTGTGTTTTCCTAGTACATTGCTAGCCGTTTCTATTGCCTTTGAAATGCCTGCATGAGGAAAACAATTTATTTTCAGGCCTTAGTTGAGATATGCTCTGTTCACGCCTTCAGTGTTTGTGCCTCACAGGGTTTCTCCAGAGTGAGGACGCTGCCTGTGTCACGCGTAGCTTTCCCCCAATGACACACAGCTCGTGATCTCATCAGCTGCATTCGAAAATGTACAAAGTCATAGTGATGCTGTCACGTGGAGGTTCTGCTTCCTTTGCCTGTGGGAAGGATGTTGTCTTCATGGCACTGTTTATAAGTGAAATGTCTTGTCTGGGCCCTGATGCCTGGCTGCCACTTTGTGTGATTCACCATTGCTATTCCTTGAAGTCTTAGACAACGGCCTTGGTTAATGCTGGTTAGTATCTCCTACTCAGGAAATCTAGGGTGTCTGTGCCAAGACCAGGAGGCAGAGCAGCCCGAGTTCTCTTGCCCTTCTTTGCATGGTGTGTGCAGAGCAACTCAGAACTGTGGTAGGCAGCTGAGGAAGGGATCTTGCATCAAGTACAGCCAATGAATGTAGAAGGGATGTTGCATACTCAGAGTGTTTGCACAGCTGAATGGTGCAGAACCTCTCGTTCAAAGGTTTGGTGAGCCTGCCTTGTTTTTTGTATGTCACTGTACCTACTGCTTGTAGACCTCTAGCTCTGGGCAGCGGTCTGAAAGAGCTGGTGTATGAGGCAAGATGCTGCCGAGCAAGAATAGCTCTGTACTTCGGGCAACTGGAGGATGGTGCCTGTGTTCACCCTGGTGTTTTCCTGCCACCAGTCTGTTTCTGAGAACCAGTATGGTTCTGAGCTCTTCAGAGAGGACTGAGGTGCGTTAGACCTTGGGGTTTCTATCCAAATTCCCTGCAAGTCCCACTGAATCACACTGCTGTGTGTTTCAGCTGCCAGGTCTTCTATTCTCTGGGAGCAACAGCTGGGGGCGTCTCATGGATGGATGTTAAGATGAGGGATTCTGTCATCTCGGCTGCTTGCCTCAGGGGCTGTTGTCAGGATGGGAATACTAGAGGCCCTCTAGCCCTTCTAAACAGTAGTTGTAATCACTGGAATCTTTCCTTACTGGATTGGGCTGCAACGCTCACCTCCTGCAGTGGTGGTTGTGTGTTCAGGCTCTCCCAGGACAGGGAGTGTGAGACAGGCTCTGCTGTGGGCAGAAAGACTGTGAACGAACCCATGGAGGAAGCTTCAGGTTTTTTAGGTTTACAGGGGTAGGAGAGAGAAAGCCAGGAAGAGATTGTGGAATCAGCTGGTTTTCCAGGCCTTTCTGCAGGCAAAGATGTGACAGGCTTATTAGAGAAATATACCGTTTTCCTGCTGCTGTTGTGAAGGGAGGGAGAGCTGTGGTCTGTCCTACCTGGAGGAGGAGATGTCCTGGCCTTGGTCTTACCCAGCTTGCACGGAGGTTGTGGGAAGAGTCTGAAGGATGCAATAATGGATGTCTGTAGCCATCTGTTCCATCTCATGAAACATTCCTTGGGCCGGCTGCCCAGCAGAGGCCGGGGCTGCTTCCAGGCCACGCATACGTTGTTCCTCCAGGAACGCGAGATTTGCTCCAGGTGACGAGCGCTCATCACTACCAGACTATGCAGAGGAAGCTCTGTCTGGAAAGGAGGAAGGCTGCAGAGGTCCCTCTGCCTCTCCTTTCCAGCAGGTGCACAAGTATAATGCACTTTTCACATTGTGTCCCTGACCCTCCTGTCCCCACCCCACACTTGAAGTCACTTTCCCCAGTAGAAAACTAACAAACAAACTTAGAAAATATTTTAAATGGAAACTACAGCAGCTTGAGTAGCCGAAATGCTAGTTCCTGCCCATAGCAGTCCACGTGCCTTTCCCTAGCATCACTCACAACTGCTCTTTGCCTTTCAGGCTGTCTTGGGCCTGAAACTTTGCAGAAGCTGCTCAGATGGCTACGAATGCATATTCTGTACAGAGTTTGGCCCAGGGTGTATTCCACGTAGGGCTTAACACGCTGGTGGTCGAGACTCCTCCGTGATCTTCATGTGTCCACACAGGACAGGACTTTCCCCAACATCCCAGGCTGCTGCTGCTCCACCCTGCCAACGCGCCACGCGCATTTGGGTTGCTTTCTGCCTTTGTGGCACCTCGGAGCCAGGGAAGGGTCTGCCCACACAGATGTGTGGCACTGGGGGACCAGCTGGGCTGCCCTGACACAAGGAGGTCTTTGTAGATAAGTGCTGATCCCTCAACTATAATCCCAGTTATGTAATGGCTGTATTAACATGTAACCAACCGCATTGTATCTAAAGCCTTAGAACTAGTCAGGTGCTCCTCTCCAAACTTGCTCCCACCCCTTTTCTCCTACCTGGTCTTTAACAAAGCATTAATAATTCTAAGGATAATCTCTATTTTGTTGTGCTTTTTTTGTAACTGTTTTAAATAAATCAATTTGTACTGTATATTTGTACTTTTGGTGAGATCCTTTTTCCTGTTTTACCATTTTAAGTCTGTACTTGGCTACACACAGATTGTATTTTTATTGTTAACGCTCTTATGAATATTCCATTTAACTTGTTGACTCTGTAAACACAGTATATATCTATCTATCTATATATATCTATATATAAACCAATAGCTTTTTCTTTGGTGTTTGAGACTTTTTGCTTGTCTGTGGCATCAGCGATCACTTGGATGTGGGTTCTGTGTTCTTACGTAGTGATCTGGGATCTATAGCTTCAGCTATGGTTTGCACAGCAAAACAACACTTCTGCTGGCCAAGCAGAACACACATCACAGAGCAATAGCAACTGCTGCAAAGAGCAGATGGTCAGCTTGGTATAAAAATGGAGGCAAGAATAAAAGTGAGAGATCAGCTCGAAAAACAAGAGGATAGGAAGAGGGTAAGATGGAGTCAAACAGATTCTTGCCAGATCTGGTGGATTTTTCCAAAGAGTGAGGCCAGACTGGCCTGCAGAAGTCATTTCTTTGTGGAGAATGAGAAGTCAAAACAACTTCTGCACGTAGATAAAAATGTAAGCTTCAATAAAATTAAAAGCTTTTTGTAGCAATCGCCCACAAGACTGCCTATAAGGTTAGTTTTGTGTCAAGAGAAAAGGAGCACTGTGTACTCCAAATGCAGTTACTGTAAGCACTTAAGTGTGGCCTTCAAAGCGTTCCATCAAAAGTTTTTGAAAAACCAAGTTGTTTCTGACTAGTCTGCCTCAAAGTTTTTGTTCCTTGTTTTACCTTGGATCCCAGGTGAGATTCTTGTGGCCATTTCTGACTTAATGCAGAGACAGCAACTCCCCACTACACAGATGTACTGCGGGCTGTGGCTGGAAATGTCGTCTCCAGGGCACCACATGCAGCTGTGCATCACACCAGCGGTGGGCTGAAGTTTGAAAAGCTACAGCATAAAATTTTAGATGCTCACTCTTAAACCACCACTCTCTTAAATGGAGAACGTATGACCTCTCTGCTCCTTCACTTCCGGTTCTGCGCTACTGTTTTGCCTTTTACAGTTTAAACATACTTAAGTTTAATTTCCATAGTTGCATAGTTTTATAGTTGTAGTAGAAAGGGGAACATTTCCATATAGGTACAAACCACTATTATGCTCTGCACTGGCTGCTTCTGGGCTTAAATTCACTGCTCTCCAGCAGATTTTCCCAGCTCCTCCCCAGTTCAGGACTTCTCTGCATTACTCTCATGGGTTCTGTTACAGCGTAAAAGCAAAAGCAGCTTTCTGTTTACTAACATTTTCCCCAACTGTTCCCATGTGTTACTTGCGGTGATGGCTGAAAGTCATTGTTGGTCACACAAGAATTTTCAACAGGAATGAATTGCTCCATGTGTGACCCATGATCCCAGATGAGCAGCATTACATTTGGCTGTATTAAAACGGAATAAGCTCATTTAATTTTGAAGTCCCAGAATGGCTGAGGTGGGAAGGGACCTCTGGGTCCATCTGGTCCAACCTCTGCTCCAGCAGGGACACCCTGAGCAGCCTAGCCAGGTGGTTTTTGAACACCTCCATGGATGGAGTGTCCACAGCCTCTCTGGGCAATCTCTGCCAGCATTCTGGCACCTGAAGTACAGAAGTGCTTTCTGATGTTGAGGCAGAGCTTCTTGTGCTTCAGCTTGTGCCCACTGCCTTTTTTCACTGTCACTGGGCAGCACTGACAAGAGCCTGCTCTGACCTCACTGCATCCTCCTTTCAGGTATTCATATTCATCGAATTCCCAAACCTTCTTCAGGTTAAACAGTCCCAGCTCGCTCAGCCTTTCATCACAGGAGAGATGTTCCAGTCTCTTAACCACCTTTCTGGCCCTTCGCTGGACTTGCTCCAGTATGCCCATGTCTCTCGCTTGCAAATCTGAAATGCTGTTTGATTGAAAATTGCCTTGTTTGTAAACTACTAAACTGTTCCCTGCTCACTTTGTCAGCCCTTCCATTACTGAGGTTTCTTAGAATGGGAACTCAGTTTCCTGTTAGCTTTTCCATGCGTGTTACTACAAGGAAGCACATAACAAAAAAAAGGGTGTGCACAGCTATTTCCAGGGAGATTACTTTTTTTTTTTCCCCTTGCTTTTTATGGACACAAAATAGTATTTATTCCTGGAAGAATGGTGGACCATCTAAGTCCTTATCTCCATAACTTATGCTGCAGTAAACAAGTCTGAGGCAGACTTCTTACCTACAGCAGAACTGCAACAGCCTCAACCCATTTAATGGTGCGAGGGTCAAAGAATAATACAAAGCACAGGAGGTAAAGAAGGGGGCTAAATAAACATGAAACATTAATTTATTTTCCCACTGTCCGAATGCGGTAGCTGACCCTCAGACCGTAGCCCCAGACAGACATCAATCAGCTCCATTCTCCTCCTGTTTCAGGAGGAAGCCAGAACTACCCATGCAGGAGTGACGTCTGGGGAGCTACAGCAGCCCCCTGAACACAGAAGCCTGTTGGTTTGCCTGTGACAGACACAGCAGAGATGGCAGTCTCTGCCTGCAGCTCAATGCAGAGTACTGTTGCTCTGCTCCTCAAAAGTCATTTTGCTCAGCAGTTGGCTCTCCAGCTCCACATTGCCCACTGGCAGCTGGAAAAAGTTCATTTCAGCTGCCAAAGCTGCCATTGCAGAGGGGTCCTGGCCAAACTGCGCCCGCAGCATCATGTCCATTTTCTCCAGGCGCCGCTTCAACCTCTTGGCCTCACGCTCCCGGATGAGCCGGGCCTGTCGCTTCTCTGGAGTTTCGTTGGCACGTTTCAGTCGCATGGCTTCTCGGTCTCGCTGCAGCCGCCGCGCCCGCTGTTCATCCGTCTCCTGCATGCGCTGCAGGCGCTTTGCCTCTCGATCCCGCATGCGTCTCACTTCCCGCTCCTCGGGGGTCTCGTTGTCCCGCCGGCTCTTCTTGGCGGTGCGCTCCCGCTCCAGGCGCTGCAGACGCACTTCCAAGGGCTCGTTCTGCCGACGAAGCGCCCACTTTCGCATGCCAGGTGTCTGTGCCTCCAGCAGCTTACGATAAGCAGCACAGTTGTTGCACACTAGGAGGATGCCTGCAGGATACACAGGGCTGTGAAAGGTAATGTCCTTCCCTCTGACACTGGAAGGGCCCTCGCTCTGTGGCACAGGCAGGCGATCTGCACTGAGCACCTCTGTCAGCTTCTCGCTGGAAAGCAGAAAGAGCGGTGTCAGACTCGGTACTGACAGAAGAGTCCTCATCTCAGACTACAGGGTGGCTCCTACCAGAGCCTATGACAGAGGCCTTTGCCCCAAAATGTGTCTGAATATCTAAAAATCAAGCAACATTGTATACAGGGGTAGGAATGGGATTTGCCCAGAGCAGTATTTGGATTAGAAGAATGCAAATGCAGGGATTAACCAGCAAGCTGTTCCCCACTTTCATTTCTGTATTTCTTCTTCCAGCTCTATTTGCCTAGTCAGCGTCCTTCCACCAGGCAGGACGTAAATGAAGAACATTTTTGTTTCTGTATGTAGTCCTGCTTTGGAAAAGAGAAGCTGTCTGGGCAGCACAGACCCAGTGTGATGGATTGCTGGGCAAGGGAAATAATGACTGTTCTCTCCTGTGACTAGTGACCCCAGTGCTCTCTGAACAGTGTTACATTTCACACAGCTAAGAAACACCCTTCAAGCAGCAATGATCACTGAGGTTTTAGCAGGTGATGTGGAGCTGCAGGGATGAAGAGATCAAAGGAATCTCAGCCACTGGGGGTGATCACAAACGGTCGCAAGTCGGGCCGAGATATGATTCCTCTGTCATTTAAGGCAATGCACCTAAGCTTTTCTGTGGGTACCCTCACTCACTCACTCACCAGCCAGGATGACCCTGACCTGTTGAATGTGGCGTGGCTGGTGAAGCGTGCTCCACACACTGCACAGTTTGACAGCTGGTCCTCTGAGTGGATCAGGAGGTGTCGCCCAAGGGAACCTGGTGAGCTGAGGGCTCTTCCACACACAGGACACATATAGCTCTTGGCGCTCACCACAGCTGCGGAATGCTGCAAAACAACCACAGAGTTGTTAGTTACAAATTGCCCAGCTTCCTGCCCAGTCTGAGGTGTGCTCAACGAATATGGGAAACTAGCTAACTCAACCTCCTGGAACTGGATCACTTATCCAGTAAATCCTCCAGCTGATGGCTCCTAGACTAGCTCAAGACATTTGGGATGTCACAGATCAAACAGCAAGACCTTTCTACACCTCCACTGCAGTGCAAGAGAAACAAGTAGGACCAAAAGAGATCGTAAGATCTGACTCTTGTTTTCAGAAATGCATCTGAGGAGCTGCTGTTATTAGACAAAGCATGACTGCACTAACACTACGCAGCCTCCTGGTGAGGAAAAGTTCACTATGATGGTAGCAAGAAACGATCAGCTTGTACAGTTAAGTTGCCAATTCAGCTCTGCTTCACTCCTTCTTTCGCAGACACAGACGTGCTGTGAAGACTACTAACAACAAAACCTGAGTTCCCACCACAGACTTACTGCAATACTGGAATCATTTCAGAGGAAGAACAGCTGTTCCCACAGGTAGGAACTATGATAAAGGGACATAATAAGGAGCTGAATGATCAGCTGATCACACTGAATGGTGTAAGAATTGCTTCCGTGTTTAATCTGAAGGAACTGCCTGGTCTCAGTTTGCAATTGCTTGCATAGATTGCCTTGGGATGGAGCTGTATTCTCCAGATCTGCAGACTGCTGCTTTGCTTATTTTTCCCCCAGAACTTTCTCTGGACTATCTGCTATAAACTTCAATCACATCCTAGATAGAAGCTCAGTTCTGTGACTGCAAAGATCAGAACAAAGTCAAGCCATGCTCCTTGCCCAGGGTTGTTTCTGACTTTGGGACAGCTGAGGTGCTTAAGGCACAGACATCGCACTACTCAGAACCACCCCCTACCTGGTATACATGAGCAATGAGCTGCTCTCTGCTTTCATACTCCAGCTGGCAGAGGGGACACTTTGACAGTCCCAGAATGGAGTCAGCATTCAAGCTCTCAGGAACCTACAGGAAAGGAAAGCCATTTTGGTGTAAGGCACACTGATCTCCACACAGCCACCCACCCTCCCTTAGCATCTAGCGAGGGACTGCACAATGGCCCAGCTCAGATCGAGTGCAGTGCTCAGTCTTGTTGGGGCTGGTTTGCAGTTCTCACAGTCCAAAACTTCCTTTATTCAGCCTCTTAGCAAAGCTCTTGCTGCCTCAGGAGGAAGAAGCAGAAGTTTCATGCCCTCCACTTGAACCCATGATCTTGCCAGCATGGTGGCTCTAGTGGGCAAGGCCTGCTCTGTAGCAGAAAGGAAAGGTACAAGAACTGAAGGAGGCAAACAGACTTCACAGTCATTTTGTCCAGGCAGGGGAATAGCAGTTTATCCTGCTATCTCCTGTTCCTGGCAGCCCATGAACATCAAAACCATCTCCCTTAAACAGGAGATGCTTTTTGGAGGAGATGATTATGGGAACAAGGTATGAAATTAAGGTTACAGAGAGATGTCTAGCCAGTGCCCACCCCTTCTCCCTTGGACACTGATGAGACTGCAGTGCCAGTATACACACTTGCCTCATTTTCTCTCATCAGCAGGGTTCCAGCTGCAGGTTGGTCTCCATTCTCCAGTTCTTTCTTCACCTTTAGCATTGAGCCATCCTCCTCTGAAGTATGGGAAGAAACTTCATCATGGGTGGTTTCCTCATCATCACTGCCACCTTGAACATAGAAAGCAGTTACTCCAAGTGTCAGGACCCTGACAGCACTAACAGACCTTAATTGCCCTGACCAGCCTCACCTAGGGCCTCCACTCACACTCAAGATCGGGGCCCCATTTAAACTCAGGAGGTACTTCAATCCCCAAAGAACCATGTTAAGTCCCTGGATCTGGCCTGTTACCTGGCTTTGCTCCATGATCACTAGATTGTCAACAGAGCCTGGTGCCATCACCATTCTGCTCCAGTGCTGTGGGACTGCACTCTAGTGGTGAGGTTACTGTTCAACCTGCATTGTGGCCATTGGCACTGGGCTTGTCTTCTCTTAGTGAGCAGTTCTGCTCTTACTGTTGGCTGATAAAGAGCTGTCAGCACAAGAATCAAGGGCTAACTCAGAAGAGAAGATGGGTAAAATGGTCCTCAGAGAATTCCCACCAGCTCTGTAGCACCTAGCCTCACCCTATCAGTTTCTCCAATCCACTACCTTGCAATTACTGGAAGGGGCAGAACTCACTGCTGCTGAAATCACGGTCTTGCAGTGGATGAATAGCCGGCCTTTGGTCCCCAAGAGCTCCAGGAAAGCTGTTTTTCATCATGGCTTGGCGGGCTTGCTCCTCCAGCCCTGCAAAGACTTGCTCCCCTGGCAGCCACAAGGACAAAAAGTCAGATTGGTGCTGTTCCATTATTTCACAAAAGCTTGCCAGAAATGCAACAAGTGTGGGGTTGCTCACCTGCAACGTGCAGACCCTCTGAAGTCACCTCTCTGAAAGCATTTAAATAACCTCTGTGCTTCCCTGCCCTGTAACTCCAGCCTCCTGTATCTGCTAACACAAGTCTAGTCCCCACGTCTCGCTAGCGGATGTGTATGGTGTCAGGCTGCTCTCTGCACACCCTTTATACACCACTCCAGTCGCATGTAAAAAACCTGCAAGGCTCCACATCTGCCACCTGTGCTCACATGGCTTCCACTTTTACCAGAGGACCAATCTGCCAACAGTGATAGAACAGCTGTAGGTGAGGAAAAGCCATGCAGGGGTGATGACTGTATCCCAAATTGGACGTGTTGCTACATGGCTCTTGTAAATCATTCAGAAGCTATTACAAGCAGCACAACAGTACTGCGACAGGATATTCATACTAATTGCATCAGGGTCAACCAATCACATTAGGGTCTGGAAAGGCACAGACGTCAGTGCTTGCACGATTCCCACATTAGGTTAAACTAAATTCTACATACAGTCTGTTTTTCTCTTTGTAACTATTTGTATCTCGACTCAACATGAGAACAGACAACAAAAAACCTATTAGAAGGCAATTATCTGAGTTCCTCTGAAAGAAAACTTCCTACAACAGTCTCTGCAAGGCTTCCAGTTCCAGGGAATAACTATAGAAGTCAACCACCAATTTTCACATTAAAACAAACAAACAACTTTGTTCTACAGGTAGCGAAGACCTGCTTTTAGCAGTAGATGAGTTACGAGCACTTGGGGCAAGGTGCTAGTTCCCAAACAGCTATAGCTTGTGGATCAACATTTCTAAGTTCACAGGAACTACTCAAAGCGTAAATGCAGAAATACAATTTAAGATGCAGTGCAAAGAAGGTCAGAGTGCAGCTCTCAAAGAAGCATTGCCCCTTCTAGGATAGGGCCACAACTGGCATCAATACAGGGAACTGCACTCATAACCCATGGAGACAGCACCAGTCCTGCTACAGGGACAGGTGCATCTCACATGCTGAACTGCTTCAGCCAGCTTTGCCCCATATTTATACACATACTGCCTTTCTTGTGCTCAGCTCAAAATTCCCAACATTGCTTTAATTTTTGGAAGACTGTAAAGCCCTTCAGAGGCTTCCAAAGTTGTCCAGAGGGGCTGTGGATGCCCCGTCCCTGGAGGAGCTCAAGGCCAGGCTGGATGGGGCCCTGGGCAACCTGACCTCACGCTTATCTAACAGCTGGCAGCCCAGCCTGCAGCAGGGGTTGGAACTTGATCATCACTGAGGTCCTTTCCAACCCAAATCATTCTGAGATTGAGTGATTCTACTTCTAACACCAATCACAACAACCAGCAGAGCAATCACGTCTGCCAGAAGCCTTTCATTGTAACATACACACAACCACATGAGCACTGATTTAGAGCAGTGTGGAGAACCATCCATCAGCTTACAGCCAGAAATGCAAACCGTTAACCAAACCACTAGCTTGTATCCAAAAGGAATCACGGGAGTGGAAAAAACTTTCAAAAGCTCTGTATTTTGCTTATACCAAATTTCTTATTCTACTAATAGCGTTTCTGAAAGAACTTGGAAAAGAGTGCTCAGTTCATCTACTGACAGACTAGGTCCTACATCACTAAAGCTTTGGAATCTTAATGTTTGATAGGTACAGGGTTATGTTCTTATTGTCTACACACATGCTCACGTACAAACACACCCCCACCTCCACCCCATTTTGAATACATTTGCATTTCTGTGGAAAGGGAGTAAGACAGGCAACAGCTTTAGGATCACCACTGTCAGAAAGGACATTATGCTCAATATTGAATTCGCAGACTCTTCTCCAGAAGTTTCTTTATTAAATACAGAAAGGGCTGTAGGCTGACCACAACACCAAAACAAGTCACTGTATTTGTTTCACAAGCAGCTAGAGATGTAGAACAGCGAGTGTCAAACAACTGCCTCTGTTTTGCTTTCCAGTTCTCCTCTCCATAATCTTGCAAATGAGTGGGATGCCAGGAGAGCAGCTGTGGAGGTAGGGGCCAGCCCTGTGGTACTGTGCAACAGGGGCAGTTATGAGTGCTACGATCTGATGGTGTATCAGCTTGGCAGCCAGAAATGATTATTTTCCTTAGCCCTTCCCTTCTTGAACTGTATGAATGCAGGATAACTCTCAGGTGTTCTGGAAAATAAACACATAAACAAACAACCTCACTCCAAAATCCACAAAACAAAAATCAGAATAAACTGCATAATTCCCCTGTCTTCCTTCCTAAACAGAAAAGTCTCTCAGAGATGAGCCACTTTACTCCCTCCTTGTACATCAATTTAACATCCCTGTTCATGTAGGTCTTCTCTGTGTTCCTTTCCTGGACCTGAAATTTGCAAGTCTGTCCACCACTGTGGATCTAATCCACCTGCCCCATCGCTATTCTGGGTTGTCCACACTGCTGTAGCGGTTACTGAAATGAAAAACAACAATTGAAAGTGTTAATAACCGCAGCCCACGGAGCCCTTTAAGAATCGAGGATTTTGATGCAAATAACAATTTTTGCTCAGTTTGATTGCTGGCTGCTATTCTTGAAAGATACTTTCTTTTCAAACTGGGAGTATTACAAGCAGCAGAATTCAAGAAATGCTGAAGAGCACAGAGAGAGAGAGAGAGAGAGAAAGTGTGTGTGTGTGTGTGTGTACATATATATATCAGAGGGAAAAGGAGGGAAACCAAGGATTAATGGGATACCGGGACAACACAGAATAGAGCTAGGAAGTGGTTATTAATTTGATTAACAAATACTGTTCTCAAGAGGTCTAAGCATCACTTGCAAAAGGTAGAAGCCGTAGAAAGAAAAGCAGCTCATGGGATAGCGGAGAGAGGAAACAAAAGCAAACTCTAATACCTGCAGCAGAATTCCTGGCAAGCTCAAGAACAGTGGAATGACCTACAGCTGATGAGTGACATTGCAGCAAAGGACAGGCTTGAAGCAAGATCAGAAGAATAACTGCTTAGAGAGAAGATACTTTTATACTTTAGAGTCTGGAAGACAATAAAGACCAAATGAATGAAGATACTTCCACAGGAACAATACAACTGTGTGGCATTTTTCAATTCAGTGAGGAATGGGCAATGCAATAAGCATACTTCAGTATTACAAATATATTTCTTACCATACTGTCAGATGAAAGCATTTTTTTTGCAGCACATGACAATACAAAAATCAGTTATTAAAAGCCAATTATGTGCTGCACTCTGCCACATGGAAATGACTACAGTGGAAACTATAAGTGGACTGGCAATCACACACAATGACATGCTTATGATAACAGTATTTTTTACTGTTGTTTCGGTAGAATTATGAGTTTTCTTACACATCAAATTCTGTTTCAAGTGGTCTGACTTGTAACTGCACAATTCTGCATGCCAAAGTACTACTGTGCTAAGTGGAGACAGCAACTGCTGTTGTGAGAGCAAGGTTAAACGGGGGCCATGCTGAGCCTGGAAAGTAACTCTGGAAAGAGGCAGCACTGAACAAGCCAGGGACAGGAGAATGCAGCTGTTGCTTGCAAAAGTGAATCTGAGAAGGAAGATAACATAGAGCAGCAAGCAAGGAAGAAGTAGGCATCATCCTCTCATGAATTTGTCCTGTTAGATAATCACAGCGGCATTTATGCAAATCCATAAAGCACTTCCCAAGCCCCACAGCCTGCAGATCTGATCCCAATTGCAGACGTACCTGCTGTCCCTTTTATTCCTCTCCTCCCAACAATTTCAGTCCCAAGAAGTTTCAGTAACGTGCCTGCTATGTCTCAGCCTGATTCCTCATTCTGCTGGCTCACCCAGATCTTGGAGATGATGCTCTCTCCGATTTTCCTCGTCATTCACCAGTGCACTGCATGGCAATTCTGGGCCCTCCAGATACACAGCAGGCTAGGTAGACAGAGAAGTCCCAACGATTTGGTGCTGTTCATCATAAGACAGACAAGATTTCCATCCCAAGGAGGAGACATCACCATTGCAATTTTTCATGTATCTGTCAGTCCCCCATTTTCTTCCAATCCTATTTTGCTGCTCTTCATGCCTCCTATCAAATAGTTTATCTGCAGCTAAATATTGTGTGTAAGGTGGTGAACAAGTCCCATGCTTCCTTTCTCTATGGCATACCAGATGCCATACCTCAGCCTTGTGCCAGCTGGTAGCATCTTTGTCGGGTACCTTCTCCAAGACCCAAACTGGTGATACAATCACTTGCATTGCAGATAAAAAAGCAATGATGTGAAAATACCTTGACGACCAAACTCCAAAGCATGTATAGTTCATGTATATAACAATACAAGCTTCTATAGAACACAACTGTTTGCAGTGGAGTGGAGAAGAGAAATTAGCCCACCTAAACACCATGAAAACTCGACATGAACTTTTAAAGCTGTTGTACTCTTTGGTGTCCATAGATGAGAGCCCGTAACCCTACACCAGGGCTGACAGAGTAAGTACATGCTTTATATACATCTAATCTAAACAGCAGAAGCAGTATCTGGTGCTCTCAAAAGCAAATGTGTGTGGAAAGAAGACGTGTTACTAGCATTGCAGGAGAAAACACAGGATGCATCAAGTTTATCTAATAAAGACAATTCCAAGCAGACAAATCTGTACAAAGCTGTATTCCACCAACTGCTGAACTCAGCACACAGGAAGCAGGAGTGGGAAAGCACAAGTCAGAGCAGCTGCCAAAGTCAGCCCTCAATACTCTGACACTGGCCATCAAGGAAAGCTTTGTCTGCTCTCCCATGCCTACATTTGCAGGCTATAGGGCTTTCAAATCAGAAAGAGGTAATTCTCACCAGTACACTCACAAAGGGTGCAGAGCATTAGGTTATGTCAGGATGTATTTTCCTCTAACACAGAGAACAGCATGCATAGATTTCTGTTGCCGGATCCATACAAAAAGGCAGCACAGGGAAACACATAGAGACAGGCAAGCCAGCAGCATCAGCAAAGTGAGGCAGTTGCTACGGCCGCAGCAGTCAGCTCTCCATTCCACAGACCTGAAAGTTACCATAGCGGAGCATTTCTTAGGCCTCTCATCTCAATCAGCCTTGCTTTCACATGTCTACAGAAGTGGAGATTTGTTTTTTTTGTTCAAGCCCAGATTTCAAGCATCTATCCATCCACAAAGCTGGATATACATACAAGGGCATAGCTTCGGACTCCCAACTCCCCTCTGTAACCAGCCAAACAAAACCCATGCAGATGCCCCTCTGTAGCTGAACATCCACACAGCTGTCTCCCAGCTACACTAATACCTCACTACAGCCTACCCACAAGAAGCGCTGATGTACAGCACCTTCAGTCCTTTTGCTATCCAACAAATGTTAGGATCTTGACAATGCTGGAGAAAGACACCTGTCTTCTCAGCTCAGCTCAGAAATGGCCTGACAAATCATATCTGTCCATTATTTGACATAGCCATTGTCCATTCCCTGCCAGGAAAAGGCAAATGGCTTTATTTACATTATCTGGTGGAAAACTGAGGTGCAGTGAGCTTAAGTGACGCATCCAAGCCAGTCTCTTGAATCTGCTGCAAAGCAAAGATCAGAAGCCAGGGCTCCCAGACTTCAGTTGTACACTCAGACCACGCTACCTCGAACTTTCTTTGCTATCCAAGAACTGGCCAGAACCTAACTTATGCTTGTGACAGTGTGAACACAAAGCAGAGCTGCAGGCCCTGTGCACACAAACCTGCCTTTACAGAGTTTGTTCAAGCCTATCCCTGTCCTACCTTGTCAGGACACTGCCAGCTCCCCTGGCATACAGAGTTCTTATTACAAGCCCTAGGACAAAACATAGGTAACCATTCCCCCACAAATGGTACCTTTTCATCACTGCCCTCCTCCCCTTCCTCTCCACAACTATCCATCTATGACAAGGATCCCATGGTGCTATGTAACATAATACTCACAGTGAACTTTGTTAGGAGTGGTCTGTTTCCGACGGGACATGTTTCCCTGACCTGGGAGCACAGTGTGTTCGTTCCCTCAGCAGAGGGCTCACCTGAGAAGAGAAGAGCCTGTCACACACACCACTGGGACCTTCTCAGCCACCAGACAAACGCAGCTGAGCATCTCAGGGTCGCTCCCCATCCTTTTGGTTACAGGGCTAAAGCCAGAGCCACATTCAGAGCCAGCATCCAACGCAATCCGCAATCATTTTACCACGCACGGGCAGCCCCACCCAATTCAAACTAAGTAATAAGCAATTCTGCACCCGTAATACAAAAAGCTCAGAATGCCCCGCTTCACGAGCGGCTGGGCTCAGCCCAAGTACCCTCCTCCCTCCCACTTGCTTCTATGGCGAACAAGGCACCAGCCTAATGACCTCCACCACCGAGCCGACCCACAGAGGAGCAGAGGAGACACCGGCCCTGGAGGCCGAGCACCGGGAACCGTCAGCCCCACGACGGGCACACGAGGGAACCGCGGCCCCGGTGTGAGCGGGCCCGAGCAGCACAGGGACGGGGTACGGCCCTGCAGGCAGCGCGTACGCGCCAGCGAGGCCGCCCGGACCCCCGCCAGCAACGTCCCTCCGGTGCAGCGCCCGGGCGCCGGGGCACACGCCGACACGCCGTCCGGACCCCCCTCGAGCACCACAAAGGGGAAACGTTGGCCCTCACCCTCTGACCGACAGAGGAGAGAATCGACCCCAAGGCTCTCTCGGACGCGGACAAAAAGAGGAACGGAACACATCGGCTGCGGCCGTACAAACGAACGCCGGACACCGCCGGCCTCCCTCGACAATCGGACGCCGGCCCGCGGGCACCCCGGCCGCACAGGGCGCAGGCCCAGCCCCAGGCGCACGGACCCCGCTCCCCGACGGAGAGACGAACGGCGGCGCGTGCCCGCCCGCCCGCCCCGCCTCACCCGGTGCCGCCGCCCGCGCCGGGAGCCGCGGACAGACAAAGGGCCGCCGGACAGACAGACGGCAAAATGGCGGCGCCGCCAGAGCGCGCGGCGCGGGCACGGCCCGGCTGAGCCCCCCTCGCCGCCGCCCGGAGCCGCTCACCTGCGTGCCATGGACGTGCGGCAGGTGAGGCCGGCAGAGCCTCGCTCCGCTCCCCGCGCCTCGGGCGGCGGCCGTCCGAGCCCGCCGGGCCTCGCTCCCCTGCAAGGGCAGGAACCGATGTCACGCCGGTCGGAGCGGCGCCGCCCGCGTTCCGAGCTCACGGCCCGCCCGGGGGCGAAGCGCTCCGCAGCGGGGGATCTCAGCCCGCGTCCATTCGCGAAGGCCCCGGGGAGCCCCGATCGGCGCGCGGCGGGGCGCGGCCGCGCCGCCCCGGGACGGAGGGATCCGCGGCTGCCAGGGCCTCCCCGATGGCAGCGCGCTGCGCTCCGCCGGGGCCGATGACGGCGGTGCTTCTCCCGAGTGCTCTCCTCTCTCGCGGACGCCCCGCGAGTACGGCCGCCTAGCGCGGTGCAATCGGCGTGCGGGGCTCGCGGGGCGGGGCGAGGAGCCGGAACGCGACGCTGCCGGAACCTCCGCGCCGGGGCCGGGCGGCGGCGGGAGTTCAGCGAGACGTGCGGCGGAGGGGGACGGAGAGAGTTCCTCCGCCGAGTAACGTAGTCCCTCGGCGCCGCTCTCTCGCGGCCGCCGCCACGTCGCTTTTCCCGGACGCTGCCGCGTCGGTGCGTCGTTCAGCTCCGTTCGGTCTCGGTGGCGGCTGCCGCAGCCCGGCCGTGCCCCGAGCGGGCAGCGAGTAGCCGTCGGCCCGGCAGATCCCTCCGCGCGTAGTGAGACGGTGCTGCGCGCGCCGCCATTTTAGGTGTCCGCAGCCGGCGGGGCAGCGGTGAGTTGGGATGGGGGCGGCGGAGCGGATGGTTGGTGGGTCTGGCTGCTTCGTTCCCACCGCCTCACAGCCGGGGGGAGCCGAGCGGGGCCTCTTGCGCTGCTCTGTGTTCCTTCAGGCGGAGCACCTCTCATGGGGCCGCCCCGGCGGTGCTCAGCCCTGCCCAAGGAAGGTTCACGTCGGCGGGGCGAGGTGTTCCCTTAGACTGGGCAGGCGGTGGTGGGAACGGTGTACTCGGGAGCGAGGACTGGTAGGGCAGCGTGCGGCTCGCGCTGGGGCTTTCTTGCAGCTCTGTAAAGTTATATATAGTATTATATATATATACTTTATACCATATATATAGTATGTACTTTATATTATATATAAAGTTATATAATATAAGCTGTATATTCAGGTTATGGAAGGGCAGAACTTTTCATGGTGTCAGGTGAATATATAGCAAATTTTTATGTACTGGTGTTTATTTGACTTTAGTGGGCACTGTACATTGTTGATAATTGCACTGATGTTTGGACAGATTGGCTTAAAGATCTGTATGTACTCTAAATAGCAGTAAATTTATGCAAACTGCTGTCTGTGTGCTTAAATTACCATGATCCAAAAGTCTGTTCCCAGTCCATTGGTACAAGCCAGATCTTTCAGTGTTAGTGCTGGGGAAGATTTTTCTTACAAATGTTTCTTGTCATTGTGAAGTACTGTAATTATGCTTTTTTTTTTTCTAAGTAAAACAGGGACCAGTGTCTTTCTGGTTACTGGTGCCAATGATCTTTCTCTCTCTTCCCCTAGAAACTTCATCATGTTGGGCTCTGGATTCAAGGCTGAGCGCCTGCGTGTCAACCTACGCCTTGTCATCAATCGCCTCAAACTGCTGGAAAAAAAGAAGAGTGAGTATTTGAGGGGGTAGGTGTGACCCCGGATACTTTTGGGGCCCAGGAAACTTGAGGAGAATATTTATTTTTTTATTTTTTTCCTCCTGGAGCCAGGGAAGTTTGTTTTGCTGGCCAAGTATGAAATAGCCTTTGCTATTTGTTGCTGGATCCCAGCCTTGCACTGTGCCTGGGTATGTTGACCACAGAGGCGTAGGCTGGCCCTAGTGTGGTCTCCATACAGCTTTCTGGCAGGTGTCAGAATATGGTTGACAAGGTGACTGGTGTCACAGCTATGTGCTATATGTGGAAGGACATCCAAGTTTGCCCAGAAGGTTGTTTCCTGGGCCTTCTGTGCCTACACAGCGAGGAAATTGTGCTGTGGGTGACTCACCTCACTTGGCTGTTCTGCCCTGATTACACATGGGTAAGATTTGCCCCGTGGTTCTGGTTGACTCTACAAGGAAATTGAAGGTGTGGGAGAGTTTCTAGCAGCTAAAAACCTGCTCTCCTTTCTCCTATGAGTTTCCGTGATAGGACTAAGACACAGTTGCTCTACTAAGGTGCTACTCAGCTTGATAGGGAGAGAGAAGTTGGTGATGGGTGTGTGTGTGTGGTAGGGGCAGTAGCTCTTGCCAGCAGAGTAACTGGCCTTGGGGATATGTGCTGCAGCTGAATTGGCCCAGAAGGCAAGGAAGGAGATTGCAGATTATCTGGCAGCTGGAAAAGATGAGCGTGCTAGGATTCGTGTGGAGCACATCATCCGTGAAGATTACCTTGTGGAGGCCATGGAGATCCTGGAGCTGTACTGCGATCTACTGCTAGCCCGCTTTGGCTTGATTCAGTCCATGAAGTAAGCGCTGTCCTCAGGGATATTGTGTGGGAGAGGGTCCAGGCCCCCCTGGGTTGAGGGAGGGATACTGCTGAGATCAGGCTGGGAATACAGAAGGGCACCTGTTTTTATTTTGGTGTCCTAGGACCTCCAGAGACCTCTCCTTTCCTGGCAGGGAGTAATCTGAAGCCTAACATGAAGGACTGGGGACATTAGGGCTAAATAGCTGGAGGGCTACAAAAGTGAAGTATGTGGTGTGGAGATAGGATTTCCTTCTATTATCCTTAGGGAGCTGGACTCTGGCCTGGCAGAAGCAGTGTCTACACTGATTTGGGCTGCACCACGACTCCAGTCTGAAGTGGCCGAGTTGAAGATTGTGAGTAGGGTTGTTTGAGGGTTGTTGTGTGTGGAGGGTGGGGGTAGCACTGCCAGCAACCATTGGAAGATTTAGCATTGGACTCTGTCACTGAGCAGAGGACATTTTTAGGGGCTCTGCAGATGGAGACCTCATACCAGGTTTCACTAGTGCAAGGAATCCTGAAGCCTTGGGAGTGGCTAAGGCTGCTCAGCTGAGTGCACTTGGTGGCAGAAATTTGGGCAAGTGGAGGTGGAGAGGGCTGTGGGAACTGCAGATAATGTGGGATATGTGGTGGGGGGAAAGCAAGGATGTATGTGATCACAGAGTTTTTCTCCTGCTGCAGGTTGCTGACCAGCTATGCGCCAAATACAGCAAGGAGTACGGGAAGCTGTGCCGCACAAACCAGATTGGAACAGTTAATGACAGGGTAATGAACTGGTAGAATGGCTAAAGCTGGAAGAACTGATAATCTGCCGTGGATTTCTGCCCCTTGTTCATGTGGCCGGTGGCTGACGTTTGTGGCTGACTGTGGAGTTGGGTGGGACAGTTGTGGGGACTGGCTTGCCTCTAAATACAGAAATATGGTGTTGATGTCCCTGTCAGGTGGGACCAAGCTGTCTTGCCTGTGGGTGTAGAGGAGCAGAGCGCTTAGAACCCTGCCTTGTGGCTGCCAAAAGCCTCTACCGTTGCAGTGCTGTGCTGGGTGGAAAGGGCTCCTGAAGACTGTGCTGTGCTCCCCACAGCAGGTGACCCTGGCTGTGACTGAGCCCTGCCATTCTGCACTATTCTTGATGAGCGTCTCTGCACCCTTGTATTTCAGCTGATGCACAAGCTGAGTGTGGAGGCACCTCCCAAGATTCTGGTGGAGAGATACCTCATTGAAATTGCCAAGAACTACAATGTTCCCTATGAACCTGACTCGGTGGTGATGGTGAGTGAGATGCACACAAGTCTGTGGTCCCCTTCTGTGTTACAGTGAAATTTCCTGTTAGTGCTGTGGAGCACACGATCATGGTGTAGCACCAGAGTTTATGGTAATTTCACTTGGATGTCTTCTAGACAGCCTTAGCATAGCAGGATCCCTTCTACTTCCCAAAGTCCTACAGTTGCTATTGTCTGGTCTCCTTTCTGACTCTCATTAATAAGGTTATTATCTGTTCTGTCCTTCTGTTCCTGTCCCATCTTTTCCAGTGACAAATGTTGCAGCTAATGCTGTTCAGAAGGTTGTGATCTGAAAAGTTTCCTCTTTCCTTCCCAGGCTGAAGCCCCTGCAGGCATTGAGGCAGATCTGATTGATGTGGGGTTCACAGATGATGTGAAGAAAGGTGGCCATGGAGGGGGAGGAGGTGGTGGATTTACAGCCCCGCTGGTTGGTCTTGATGGTTTACTGCCTGTGCCGATGCCTATGCCCATGCCGTCAACAAATCCTCCTTTCTCCTATCCACCTCCAAAGGGACTGGTAAGCAACTTTGTTTTCAGCAGGCCCTTTTTCTCTGGAGAGCTTTGACTGCGATGCCCCACACCTGCTGATAGGAAAGCGTCTGTGTCTTGTAGCTTTATGTGACAGAAGGCCATCTTGTTACTGTGAGACTAAATGGGATAGAAGTTCTTGGCAGCTGAATGTTAAGCTTCTGGCCTGTCACTTATAATGCTGTGAGACGTGAAGTGTTAGTTATGCTGTTCTTTAGAATAACTAATAGTCCTGTTAGCTGGTTGCAAGTGACTGTGTCTGACTAATGCCTGAGAATCTTCTCTTAGCGAGCATAAACCATACCAAGTTGGATACTTGTCTGCATGTATATCTGACTCCTAGCAGCTGTAGGTGTATTGTGTCCTGTGGAGCCTCTCCCAGACGAATTGGCTGGTATTTGACTATTTAATTTTTCTGTGTACAGGAGAACTTCAACGGCCTGCCAGTGGGAACCTACCAGCCTTTTACTAACATTCATCCACCACCAATTCCAGCAAACCCACCAACATATGAATCTGTAAGTGCCTGAGGTGAATCACCAGTGTAGGCAGCAGAGGGAAACTCTAGAACAGGGCAGTGGTAGCTACAGAAAATACAAAGGTTAAGCACACTGTTCAACTTCTTTGGAGCTTTTGGGGTGGTGCTTGGTATTGATTTTGGCTGAATAGCTGAGTACATGTGATGAGAGGAACTTGTGAAAAGTTCTTTCCTCTGCAACTAAAACTTGTGAAAGCCAAGACTATTTTTTTTTAACCGCATTATTAAAATGATAAGCATTTGACAAGCAGAGTCCACACATCCCACTTTTTGTAACGTGATGGGATTACCACCTTCCGTCTTTTTAGGTGGACTTTTCTCAGTCCTTGGGGATAAGAATGGAGATTCTGGAGTGTTGATTATTTTCTGTATTTTTGTTTCCTGCAGTTTGTGATCATGCCTCTCGTTTTGCTGTTGGTGATGCACTTGTTTCTGCAAACCTTGAATAGGAATGAGCATAGCTTAGTATCTGTGTGCACTAGCTGTACAGAAGCCTTTGAGTCCAGGGGATGCAGGCACAGGAGCTGTTAGCTAGGTAGAGATAGGTGGCACTGATAGCCCACCAGGAAGGGAGAGTTCTCCCAGCAAAACCGACCGTGCTTTGGGCCTTTTTCCCACCAGTCCAAGACCCAAGATGACTTTATTTCATCACTGCTGGTCACAAGGGCTTATCTATTGCTTGTGAAAGTAAGCAGTAGCTGTATTATTGTGGGGGAAGAGAACAGTCTTCTCTTGCTCTTGTCCTTGAGAAATATTTTTAAATCTGCTATTGCATATAGTCCATTCATCTGGTTCCGGAATATTGCCAGTGAAGCTGCTTTGATTGACAAAGAGGGAGGGAAATGAAAGCACTGCCTCCTTGGAAGGAGAGTCAGATTCTCCTGAGTGTCCTGGAAATCAGGGTTTGGTTTTTTTTTTTTTTTTTCCTTTGGGGCGGAAGGGGGGTGGAGGGGGGAATATCATGTGCATGATTGTAGCTGCTGTTGCCTATGAGCTTTGCCTGTATGACTCTGGCATTCTGTGCCTCTGGATGGGAGAGCTATAGTAACAGAGAGCCTTTTTCAGATTGATGAGCCTAATGCTGACAAGGATGCTGCTTCTGCATCGGTGGCAGGTGAGTATGGCGAGGTGTGGGAAACTGGAGGTGGTTTGGAGCTGTGGTTAGCTTGGGGTCTTAGTGTCCTTGTGAGTAGGCTTTCCCTACTCGTGGAACAATGTGTACAACTTGACGTATCTTGAGAGCAGGATTTGAGTTTGGAGAGGGTGCTGGTAGCAATGAAGAGTATTTTCTCCCACAGGGAGGATCTGAGGAATTTAAGAATTAGTTCAACTTTGAAGTTAAACTAGGTTTCTAGCTTAAGCTAACTTGTCAGACCAAATTCAGAAGTTTGCAGAAGAAAATGGGAAAGCAACGGATTTAAATAATACATTTTTGTAGAACATAAGCAATATATTCTTCAGGAGCAGAAAGAAAAAAGCAGACACTAAGAGGTAGGTAAGTTCGTATTAATGCAGCGGAGCATAGCTGGTGAGAGAGTTGTTCTCTCTCTATCCATCTACCTGAATGTTTGTGATGTGCTTCAGGCACTGTAATTGGATCACAGTTAATCTCTCCAGTCTTGCACAGTGCACTTCTTCTCTGTAAGTTTTGAAAGCATCTGTTACCTCTAGCATTTGATCCGGTCAGAGCAGGTTTTGAACTAAGTTGCCACTTGCTATCTCCAGCAAGGATTCCTGACAATCCTTTGGGAAGTGGTGCTGGTATGTGATGGAGATATGGTTGCAGTGGAATTGCTACATCTCTGTTTAACATCTGGGTGATAGGAGCATAAGATAGCTTGGTACCTATGTGTCTGTAGGAGGTGGAATTGGAATGGAGTAAATTGGGATGTGCAGTGCAGCTGATACAGGTGTGCAGGAGCTGCAGCTGTGCTGCCCCGCAGCTCACTTGGGGCAGCAGAGTGGAAGTCTGCAGTACGTTGTATGATGGGGTGACCGGCCCCTGGCTGCAGCTCCTTGCAGCCATGTGAACTTTTTCCCCCACTGAGTCTTTAACAGAGATGGAGCTGTGTTAATGCTGATCACCGGTACTGCCTGATTGTAGAGCAGTGTTCTGTGTGCCTCTGTCTTTTGGCCTGATTAATGTGATGGTGAGTGGGGTAAAATTGTTTGTTTGGTTTTTTTTTCTTTCTTATTCTAAACAGGGCCTGGACCTAAGCCTGAAGCTTCTCCAAAACCAAGAGTTGGACCTCCTAATACCATTGATAATTTTGTGTTGCCTGAATTACCTTCTGTGCCAGATACACTACCAACAGCATCTGCTGGTGCCAATTCTTCTGCCTCTGAAGACATTGACTTTGATGATCTTTCTCGGAGATTTGAGGAGCTAAAGAAGAAAACATAAGACTGATTGGGCTATAACTCCAATGAAAAGGGCAGGAGCTGTGACTTCTCTCTGAAACACTCTCCCTTCAAATGGTTTCCTGTATTAACCTCAAATGAACACTTCTTTTTGAGCTCTCTTCCTGCTGTACTTAAACCAAATGCTGATGCTTTCCCAGTCCTTTTGCTCCAGGAGTTGAACTGTGGAGACTCTTAAGAGATGAAAGCAGAGAACAGCTCCAACCAGTCTAGGTAGCTATAGAGAAAGGCCTTGCTTGATTGACATTCCTGGCTGTTTCTGTGGCAGCTCTGTGCTCTCCTCCACAGAGAAGGGTGATAAAGGTTGAAAGGGCTTTCTCTCATGTTTCGTTTCAAAGGGAGTGTTATCTACCAGCTGCCCTGCTCTGCTTTATGGTATGTATGGTCAGGGTGATATATATATATATATATATATATTTCTCTCTGTGGTAAGATTTTTTTAACTAATTGGGGCAGAGGCAGGAATTACTGTTGTGAGTGGACACGGGCTTTGTGCTACCCCAGTGCCATCCTTTGGCTCCAGCTGGACCTGGTTGCAGTTTGTGTTGGAAACCCCTCCTTCAGACTGGGTGAACACTCAGGGAGCCCACTGCGGCTGTTGCTGCGTTGTGTGCGGCGGGCTGCTCCCCTTTCACAGAGGAGCAGCACGGTACTGTTTGCTGCTCCAGCAGTGCGTTCACACAACCTGCTGGAAGTATGTGTGGAGAGAGCAGAGGGTGGACCTGCGGGGCGCTGCAGCGTGGGCTGTATCTGCTCCATTGTTGCAGGGTCTCCCAAAGCTGTGGAGAGCTGGTCTTTGGGCATCCGGCGGTGGCAGAGGAGGGTGGCAGGAAGCCTCTGGCGGGATGCAAGCAGAGCTGTTTGTAGAGCGGTGGTTGGTTTCTGTCAGGCGGTGCTGTTCAGGGGCGGGTGCTGCTGAATGCGGTGTACTCTCTTCTGTACGTATCTGTACATAACACACTACTTTTCTTTGAAGTTTTTTTGGTTGATTTGTATCTTAAGATTAGTTCCTAATAAAGATGGGCTGTGAGCAGCTGTAGCTGCGGGCTCCGGCTGCCTTTGGTTGCTGCGGTGCGGCACTTCTGAGCGTGTGCGCGTCGGAGGGGGGGGGGCCGGCGGGGGCAGGGATGAGTACGTGCGTGTGCGGGAGAGAAGGGTCGGTACCGGCGCGTTACGTCCCGTGGCCGAAGATCCGCCGTCGGGTTCGTGCCTTCCCGTTCTTTCACCCGCCCGGTCTCACCGCCGCTGAGCCACGCGAGCCGTTCCCGCGGGCCCCGCCCCTTGCTGGCGCCGCTTCCGTTCGCTTTCCGGCCGCCCGCCCGGCGTCGTGCTGTGTTTCCATTGGCCGCACGGGCCGTCCTCCGCCAACCGCGCGCTCTGACTGCAGGAAGCGGCTCTGCCGGGGCGGGGTGGCGCCGCGCGCGAGGGGACGCGTGGCGGAGGGCGCGGGTCGGGTGCGGGGCCGTCGAGCTCATGCGGCGGCGCCTGCGGCTGTTGACGGCGGCGCTGGGAGGATGCGGGCTGCTGCTGGGCTCTGCGCTGGCGGCGGGCGACGAGCGGCTCTACGCCGCGGCGGTGATGCCCGCGCTCCGTGCCGTCCCCCCGGAGGCCGCCCACGGCTTGGCCCTGCGCGCCGCCGCTCTCGGGCTTCTGCCGCCCGCCCGTCCCGACAGCCCCACGCTGGTACGGCTCCGCGGCCGGGAGGGCGAGGCGGAGGGGGGGGAGCGGGCGGCCGGGGGAGGCGGCCGAGTCGTGCCCGACGGCGGAGGGTCCTGGCGGGGCTCGTGGGGTGGCCCCGGGTGGCAGGCGGTGAGGGTATCGCGGGGCCGCTACGTGCGGGAGAAACATCCGGGGCTGCTGCTGCTGCTGCCGCCGTACCGGCGCTTCCCCGCAGGAGGTGCGCGTCCTCGGGCTCCGGTTCCGCAACCCGCTGGGACTGGCAGCTGGCTTTGACAAACACGGCGAGGCTGTGGATGGGCTGTACAGGATGGGCTTCGGCTTTGTGGAGGTGGGAACGGTCACGCCCGAGCCTCAGGAGGGCAATCCCAAGCCCAGAGTCTTTCGGCTGGTGGAAGATGAGGCAGTCATTAACAGGTGGGTTTTTACAAATCGCTGGGAGGGGCTGCTGGTGGTGCTGGAGGCTGAGGGTACCATGGGTGCTCCCGACTGTCACCTGAATGCTGGACTGAGTGTGCTGAGCTCCCCTTGTTGCTCTCTTTTCCTGCCTAGGCCTGCTAAGCACTGGCCTGGCCCTGAGCCTCATTTTTTCTGGTGCAGATATGGATTCAACAGCCATGGCCATGCTGTGGTGGAGCGCAGGCTGCGGGCCCGCCAGGAGGCACAGCTCAAGCTCACAACTGGTGAGACAAGTTTGCAAGGGTTTGCTCTAGGGATTGGCGGAATGGATTTGGGGGACACCAAGCTAGCTGCAGGCCAAAGGAGGTATGCAAAGCCAATAGGGCTCCAGCTGGGCAGTTTCCAAGGGCAGTCTCTCTGAGTGGTCTGTATGGAGACAGTGGTGCTGGGAAATGCTGACTGGGCCAGCTGCTGCAGCAACGCTCCTGTGGCTGGAGGATGGTCTGAGCACCAGCTCTAGGAAACTCGTCCTCACACCTCGGTTTTTAGCTGGTCTAGGACCTTTCTTTGTCCAGTGCTCTGGCCTCGTGGGTGGTGGTTGGTCCCTCTGTACTGGCTGAGGCATGTCTGCATTCCAGTGGGAATGCCTCTTGGAGTCAACCTGGGCAAGAACAAGAGCTCTACAGATGCTGCAGCTGACTACGTGGCTGGAGTCCAGAAGCTGGGCCCCTTGGCTGACTACTTGGTTGTGAACGTGTCAAGCCCAAATACTCCAGGGCTGCGGGACCTTCAGGGCAAGGCTGAGCTGCGGGACCTGCTGACCAAGGTGGGTGAGGAGCACCTGCAGTGCAGGGAGGAGAGAGGCTTCCTGGGTTGGTGTGCAAAGCCACCAAGATGTCCTCTGGTCAACTACTGAATCTGTGAGCCAGTGTTGTGTGCTGGAGTGCTCTTCTCCAGGAAGAGGCAGGTGAACAGTGAAGCACTGCTCTATGTTCTGCTCCTGCAAGCCACCTACATCATGGCATCACAAGTAACCACAGTTCTGCCTGGGCCCTCAACTCGTGTGTGTTGTACACCCCAGGCCCTGTGCTTTTGGGACAAAAGGGCCTGACACTGTGCTGCCTGTGGCTGTGGGTACAGGTGGTGCCCAAAAAACACTGTTCCTTTGTGTCCTGCTGCAGGTGCTGGCAGAGAGGGACATGCTGTCATGTGAGCGTAAGCCAGCCGTGCTGGTGAAGATTGCCCCGGATCTCACAGAGCAGGACAAGCAGGACATAGCTGGTGTTGTGTGTGAGGTGAGGGGATGGGGGCCCAGCACAGTGGTGGTAAGAAGGGGAGGCTGCTGAGAAGCTGGGTGTGTGCACCTCCTGCTCTGCGTGAGCATGGTGCCAGACAGCAGTGGTCCTGGTCCCTCTGAAGGGACAGCAGACCTGCAGTTCTGGCTGGCTGGAGGGACAACATTCTGTTCAGCTGTAAGGCTGAGGATCTGTGTGCATCCCACCAGACTTCTGGGACTGCAGGTAGTGAGAGACAACTGCTGGGTATGTTGCTGGGAAACATCCAGCCTGGCTTGTTTGTTGACCCAGCTGTTCACAGCAGCTGGGACCTTACACTGCTGCCTCCTCCAGGTTGGTGTGGATGGACTGATTGTCAGCAACACCACCATCAGTCGCCCCAGTGGCCTCCAGAGCACACAGCGCCTGGAGTCTGGGGGTCTCAGTGGGAAGCCCCTGCGGGAGCTCTCCACACAGACAGTGCGGGAGATGTATGCCCTCACCCACGGTAGGGGCAGGGCAGGGCTCGGGGTGCATCCTGTCCTCACCCCTACTGTCCTGATTCTGTACTTGCCCACAGGCCGGGTGCCCATCATTGGGGTGGGTGGGGTGAGCAGTGGCCGTGATGCTTTGGAGAAGATCCGTGCTGGAGCTTCGCTTGTACAGATGTACACAGCATTAGTGTACTTTGGGCCCCCAGTGGTGGGGGCCGTGAAACGGGAGCTGGAGGAGCTGCTGAGGTGAGCAAGGGGCCCAGGAAAGGCTGTGGCAGCTGGATGCCTGCACATGAGCACTGGCACTTTGGGGCTGAGCAGCAGTGCTGGGGCTGCTAGGCTGTCATGCACTGTTTCTGACTAGGGAACAGGGGTTCAAGAGCGTCATGGAAGCAGTTGGAGCAGATCACCGACGCTGACAGATTGCAGGATCGAGATCTAGCTAAGAGGAACCATGGCAAACCAGGAATGGCTGTGATGTTTCCAGAGTAGTTAGGTTGGGACTGAGCCAATGCCCTGGTCCTGGCTCTTGAGAAGGGTCAGTAAGAGGAACTGGGGCTGTACTGGTGGGGAGCTGGGGAAGGGGTCTCTGTACTAATGCGACTGCCCAGGGCTATGCTTTTGGCTTTCCTGTGGGCTGTGTTCCCCAGCAGAAGCAAGTGGTGGTCAGGTTCCCCTGGGGCCAAAAAAGGCCCTTGAGGAAGGCCGGTTGTGGAGTGATAGAACAGTCTTGTGCCCGCCTTCCCTACAGTACTGACCAGAGCCCAAGCACTGTGTTGGGTATCCCTTCTGCCCTTCAGTTCTGGAACCTCTTCAGGTCACTCTGGCTAGTGCTGGGTCATGCACTACAGCCTTTGGAGTGGCATCTCTCCTCGCTTGTCCTCATCTGCTGTCTGTACAGTGCTTTAATAACCTGTGGGTCCTGATCCTGACCTAGAGTTAATAAACATTTCTCTTACCTTGTCTTGTGTGTTGTTCTGCTGCCACCCCTTCAGCTGCCCAGACTCGAGGGACATGGTTAGCTGTCAGCCAAGGGATCTGTGTGCTGTATTGTATCCTGGTCAGTGTCTGGCTTCATTGTGATGTTCCCAGCTGTACCTGTACCTGGAGCCCTCACCTCCAGGAGATGTCAGGAGCCGTTTTTTCCCCTTGCTCAGACAGCTGTGGTTTTGCTCTATCATTTGTTACGGAAAGGCCCCATTTTCTCACTCCTTTGGAAGCTGCCAGTTATGTCTCTGGGGCTTTTTGGCAGCAACTGCTGATTCACCCTGGACCTCCAGCAGTCTCTTGCCTGTCCTTTAGTGAGGCTGTGTGACTTGGATGTAGTGTTCCCTCTGCAGCAGTTCCCCACCATCCTGTGCCATGGGATTGTATGACAGTGCTGAGCTCCACCAAACCTGTTCATGGTCCTGAGGAGCAGCGTTTCACAAGAGTGGGTATGAGTGCTGACCCATGGCTGTCTGTAACCTTTGCTCTCTTTGGTGCTGTGTACCCTGAACCATTCCCTTTATTTCTCAGATGCCTTGGTTCTGACACAGTGCTGTCTGCAGTTCTAACAGGGATATCTTACCATTGGTTTTCATATGCTGGCTCTGGACACAATCCTGGGATGCACTTGTTCGCCTGGACTGAAGTTGGTTCTCCTGACCGTGGGGAAGTTGTGTGTCGTACAGTGCTTTTGCCTGTGCTCTGCTGCTGATCTGTGAGAAATGTTCTATGACTGTGGAGATGTTCTATGCCTTCCAGCTGTGCATTTACCCTGAGCATGGTGGTGCTTGACTATACCAGGGTGTGGGCTGTGATCTGTGCACCCGCAAGCAGACCAGGGCTGCAGCCCATCCTCCGGCCTGTGCTTTCGGCCAAGCCAGCCTCGAAGCAGCCAGACTGGCTCCAGGGCACGGTCAGAAGTCGCTTTGCACCCAGCCGGGATGGCTGCAGAGGGAAGGTGGGACAGCGCTGTCTATTGCTATAATGAAGTTGCACGGCACCTCTCGAAGTACTGTTGAGGCTCACGGCTCCGAGCCATTAGGCCGCGCCGTGCCCTGCCCTGCGCTTGGACCCAGTCAGAAGGTTCTCCTGGAGGCGGCCGTGCCGCCCGTCCCACCTGCCCCGGAAGGACACCTGCGAGCCGGGGACAGCTGGGCGGCGTCCTGGGCTGGGGCCGCGGCGCCGCCTTTACCTCTCCGAGACGCCGAGGGACAAAGCGCTGCCGGCGGCACGACGAACGGCCGCCGCCCGGGGCCCTTTCTGCCCCTTCCGCTCCGGCCCCGCGTTCTTCCGGCTCGCCCTCGTGGTGTCGTGGTTACCGTGCCGGAAGTCCGCCGAGGGAGCCGCGGGCCGCCCCGTGTAGTGGCGGTTGGACTCTATGGTCTCTTGGACGCCTGCAAGTTCCGCCCGTTCTGTCTATGGTGCACGAGGCCTAGGGCGGTTCTCGCGGAGCGCTGTGGGGCGGCCGTGGCGGCGCTCTCGGGGTTGGGTTGCGGTCGCTGAGGCGACTGCTGGCAGGAGGGGGTCGGGTCGGCCCTGCGTGGCGCGCAGCGGCTCCCTGTAGGCCTCATGCGTCCCCGCCGCGGCCCGGCAGCCCGTTCTTCTGCAGCGTGGTAGCGACCGGCGCCGATGGCCGAGGCCGGCGAGGCGTCGCTGCACCGGCTGGCCGGAACCGGCCCCGAAGCCGAGGCGGGCGGGCTGGTCCCGCGGGCGCGCAGCGCCGCCGCCGAGCAGCACATCTTCAAGGCGCCGGCGCCGCGGGCCTCGCTGCTGGGCCTGGACGTGCTGGCAGCCCAGAAGCGGCGCGAGCGTGAGGAGGAGGGGACGAGCGGAAAACGGTCCCGAGTGTCCTCCTACAGGGACTGGGAGGAGGGCCGCGACGAGGCGGGCAGCCCCGACGAGGAGGAGGACGAGGAGGATGATCGGAGACGTCGCGGCGCCCGCAAGGACAGGTGGGCTCTCTGCGGGCCGCCGCGCCCTGCTGGTGCCCGGCCGTGAGCGTGGCGGCAGCTGCGTGCCGTGTGCTGTGGGGATCTCTACCCCCGGCCCCGGAGAGGGGCTGTGGGATTCAAGTCTCTGGATTTGAGGACGTCTGGGAACTATCTGATTGGTGCCCACCCTGAGTTGTTATGCTAGGAATGTTCTGAGATGCTACCAGGCCTGCAAACCTGTCGCCCTGTGCACATCAGCTCTGCCTCCTGATCTTTGGAAACAGCAGTTTGCTTAGATGTGCTTATGTCTGAAAGCCGGGATATTGTGTGAGAGAGAGCAGTCTCAACCACATGCTTCTACTGTAGCAGAGATCAGGACTAGAACTGCAGGAGACGAGTTGGAAACCAGCTATTCCTCAGCATTGTGGAATGTTTTTAACTTCTGTTCTACCTCTCTAGGCATTACCGTTCTGTCCATGTGGAAACACCGTCCTATACAGGTGGTGTCAGTGAGGAGTTTTGGGAACGCAGCCGGCAGCGGGAAAGGGAGCGTCGTGAACACGGTGTCTTTGCCTCCTCAAAGGAGAAGGAACGGAAGAAGGAGCACAGTAGGGATCGAGACCACGATCGTAAACGGGACCGTGGTAACTTCTTGAGGCTTTTGTTACTTTCTGCTTAGGTTTCAGTCTTTATTCTCTCTGTTGCCCTTGACTAATGTTCAGTATATTTTTTAGGGCAAATTTGGGAAGTTTGTTTGTACACAGGGCGCCTGAGCTTATTTTCTGTCTACAGAGGACTGGGACAAAAGTCGTCACAGCAGCAGATCAGAAAGAGATGGCTCATTGGAGCGGAACAGCAGGAGGAGTGAACCAGAGAGTCCCAAGCATCGTCCCAAAGGTAGGAGCAGGACTTGGTAGAGACCTCAGAAGAGATCTAACAAGAAAAGGTTTTTAATTTGAGGGGGGGTTTCTGCTGTTTTTGTTCGTATGAGTGCAAGTGAAGAAGTCCATGTTTTTTAAGACTTGTGGTTAGAACACACATAAAACTCCATGCTCTTCTAGGATTTTGGGACTGGGAGTGATCTGCCAGGTCTGTGTGAAAATCTGGCCAGTCTTTGCCCAGCGGGGTCTGTTCCAAGTCTGTGTGATAAGAGATGTGGTCCTCTGGCAATTTTCCTTGGAGTTGATGTGTGCAAACACCTTTAGAAGGAGAGCCGATGGGTACCCTCTCTGTGCTCCTTGTTAGGAGGTGTAAAGTGGCCCTAGGTTCTTAGGATCACTGTGTGAACACTGTGTCAAACTCAATCTCTTCTGCTAGATGCAGCCACGCCATCTCGCTCCAGCTGGGAGGAGGATGATAGCAGTTACAGCAGTTCTCGCCGCTCACAGTGGGAATCTCCTTCACCCACACCTTCCTGTCGAGACTCAGAGCGCAGCCACCGGGCATCGCGGGACACAGATCGGAGAGACCGGGACAGGTATCATAGCCGGGTGTGCAATCTATGATCTGGTGATCTGCAAGAAAGGGAAGGGTACATGTAAGATGAATATCTGTCTTTGTGCACTGATTTCTGTCTTGTGCTGTTTTCTCAGGTCTGTAAGGAGCAGGTATTCAGATAAGACACCATTGCCCACCCCATCCTACAAATATAATGAGTGGGCCGACGACCGGAAACACCTGGGGTCCACACCACGACTGTCCAGAGGTAGAGGTGAGGAGCCTAGAGTGGGCTGCTGAGGCTGGACAGTGACAGAATCCCTGTGTAGCAGAAGGACAGGTTTTGTGAGATTTCCTTCACATGCAACAGCCTGGTGGGGCTGGTGGCCTGTGCTCACCATCTCACCTTCTTTAGGGCGGCGTGAGGATGGAGAGGAGGGCATTGCCTTTGAGACGGAGGAAGAACGCCAGCAGTGGGAGGACGACCAACGGGTAAGAAGCCCGAACAGGGAGCAGGGTGCTCAGTAGACAGCAGGCTCTTGGCTGCTGCCACTTAGCCCAAAGCATCGGCAGGGCCTGGGTCTGCCGCTGGTGTTGCACCTGGTCACGGGTGCTAGTCAGCTTTCTCCCAGTGGCTGGGTGAGGACCAGAGTCTACCCAGCTGGGCAAGCAACACAGCTCAGTGCTGCATCTCTCTCCTCCTAGCAAGCGGACCGGGACTGGTATATGATGGATGAAGGTTATGATGAGTTTCACAACCCCTTGGCCTACTCCTCTGATGAGTATGTGAAGAAGAGGGAGCAGCACTTACACAAGCAGAAGCAGAAGCGTATCTCTGCACAGCGGCGGCAGATCAATGAGGTAGGGGCAAGATGTGGAGCTGGCTGCTCTGAAAGTGTGGAGGTTGCTTGTTTTGCTGCCACAAGTGACCCATTTGTTGGTGGGTTTGGCTAAGAGATAGAAAAAGGTTGTTTTTGTCCTGGTCTGTGGCAAATGAGAGGCTAAAAAAAAAAACCATTTTTATTATGTTCCTTTGGAAAGTGCAGTCCTGCATCTCCTGCATGAGTCAGAATTTATAGTTAGAGAGACTGCAGTAGATGGGTGTTCAGGGCTGCAGGAATTTAGAGGGCTATGCTATATAGGGTGCAGGTGCTACGTTATTAGGACTGTCTGCTGTTCCTCCGGTGGACTCAGAGCTGCTTCCCTCAGCATAAGAGTAGGTTTGTCTCCAGGCTTTCTAGCATATTCAGCGTATGGTAGGGATGTAGATTGTTTGCCTTCCATTTCCTCTGAGACAGTTCTGTTGACTGCGTTGACAGTTCTGTGGCCAGTCTCCATTTCCCGTACTTGTCTTTAGTTATTTTGTTATTTTAGTTATGTTTCTTTCCTAATGCTTATTTGTGGGCTTTGTAGCCTAAAACCTTCAATGTTCTCCACATTCCGGGCTTGCTTATTTTTCTCTTTGGGTGTCCAAGCTCTTTCCCTTTTGAGGAAGGAAAACCAGCAGATGCGGCATTGGATCATTTCAGTGCTTAAAGCTATGTACCGTAACTGCGGTGTGTATTGTAGTCAGTTACAGATTTGCCTTCAGCAGCTAGCCACTTTTAACTTTCTCTTTTAAGAGTAAGTTAAGCCATCCTCAGTTGGTCACGGTCCTGTAGAGCTTTGCAGCTAGCTGTGTTGCTTGATTTATTGCCTCGGAATTAGTCTGGGTAATGTGTGGTTCTTGGGTTTTGGATAACGGAGGTAATAGTTAAAATCTTCTGATACGTTCTTTCCTGCAGGATAACGAGCGCTGGGAGACAAACCGCATGCTGACCAGTGGAGTGGTGCATCGGATTGAAGTGGACGAAGATTTCGAAGAGGATAACTCAGCCAAAGTGCATCTGCTGGTGCATAATCTGGTGCCTCCTTTCCTAGATGGGAGGATAGTCTTCACAAAACAGGTAGAAGCTGTGGCTAATGGTGCCGACGATGGGGAGCCTTGCAGATGTGAGCTCTGTGCTGAAGCAGTGCCTCTTTCCTCTAGCCAGAGCCAGTCATCCCGGTAAAGGATGCCACTTCTGACTTGGCCATCATAGCCCGAAAGGGCAGCCAATTGGTGCGCAAGCACAGGGAGCAAAAGGAGCGTAAAAGGGTATGCTGAGACCTCACTATATGTGTTATATAATGCCTCACTGCTTTTGTTTGGGCTTTGTAGAATACAAGCTTTGGTGGTAATAGTAAGGTGTTCCCCATATTTGTGTGATCTGATATATGCTGTTAGTCCAGTTCATTCCATTGTCTCACAAGTAGCTGTTGTGACTTCCTTACTCACTGCCTGGGATGTTAATCACTGTGCATTTGCACAGGGGAGTTTGATGCGAAGGGCATTTGGACTGGGGAGAGAAGAGCAAGTGGGAGAATACAGTGTAGCTCAGGCACGGTCAACATTCAGTGTGGTAGCAGGACAGATCTTATCGTGTCTCAGCAAAAGAGTTCTGAGGAAGAATATACAGGAAAGTAGTATATTAGTACCCATATCTTTGTGGGTGTTTCCCTAGTAGAGGGATTTTCTCTAAAGCTTACATGGTAGTGGTTGGGAAAACATAGATATGTTCATAGTAAACTGAATGTGAAACTGTGAGTGGAAAGGAGGAAGTCCTGATATCGAATGTGAGAGAAAACAGAATGGTGAGAGTACCTATCAAGAGCAGGAAGATTAGCTCTGGTTCAGATTTTTGTATATTTAAGTGTAAATTTAATGGAAGGGTCAACAGCTGAAACAATTGTCTTAGAGGGCTGTTGATCATCCTGTGCTTGTTGTGTCTTTATCCAGACCAATGCCTAAAAAAGTTCTGCCCCAGTTTGCTTGGAAGAAGGAGACTTGACATAGGGAATGGAGTGTGTGTTCTCTCCTTTAGCGCTAGGGGATTGAGGCAAACATGCTTATCTAACCTTAGAAGTAGGACAGGAGGAGAATGATTTTTCAGTCCCCACTGTGGTACTTAGACTGCTCTTTGTGCTTCCAGGCTCAGCATAAACACTGGGAGCTGGCAGGCACAAAACTGGGAGACATTATGGGGATCAAGAAGGAGGAGGAGAAGGACGAAATGGTGACAGAAGATGGCAAAGTGGATTACAGGTAGGAGCTTTTGGATGACTTCTGCCTAGCTAGTGGCGTTGTGCCTATGCTGTTGGCAAGGTGTGTGAGGAGACAGCTTCAAGACTTCTCATGTTTCCTTAGGACTGAGCAGAAGTTTGCTGAACACATGAAAGAAAAAAGTGAAGCGAGGAGCGAGTTTGCCAAGAAGAAGTCGATTCTGGAGCAAAGACAGTATCTGCCCATCTTTGCTGTGCAGCAGGAACTGCTTTCCATCCTCAGGTATGACTGATAGGAGACTGGTCATAGTGCAACCCTGGGGCTTTGGCTTACGTCTCTGGATCCCAAGTGAGAAATTCACCTAGGTATGTGTTCTGTTCGGAAGCTGTACCCTCAGAAAACGGCCTATTGCTTTATGTGATTGATAGCAGCTTTCCTGCCAAAGTAGGACAGCTTTTGGGTGGCCATCCAGAGCTCTGAATGAAGAAGCCTGTCTCTGTGGTATATGAATAAATATTGTTTCCCTTTCTTCAGGGACAACAGCATTGTGATTGTGGTAGGGGAAACGGGGAGTGGTAAGACAACTCAGCTGACGCAGTACCTCCATGAGGATGGCTACACAGACTATGGCATGATTGGCTGCACGCAGCCCCGCAGAGTGGCAGCCATGTCAGTTGCCAAGCGGGTCAGTGAGGAGATGGGAGTGCGCCTGGGAGAGGAGGTGAGTCTGGCAGCATGTGGAGGCGTGCAGCCTCTCGGCAGTGCGTGTGCAGGGCTGTTGAAGACTTGCTGATATCTCTGCCCCCCAGGTGGGTTATGCCATCCGCTTTGAAGACTGCACGTCAGAGAACACAATAATCAAATACATGACAGATGGGATCCTCCTTCGTGAGTCGCTACGAGAGGCTGACTTGGACAACTACAGTGCTATCATCATGGATGAGGCACATGAGCGCTCGCTCAATACTGATGTGCTCTTTGGCCTGCTTCGGGAGGTGTGTGTGAGCCTGGACAACAGGAAGACAGCAACATAGGGCATTTGAGCTGGTATTAGGGCAGAATATTGGCAGGGACAGTGCTTTTCTCCCAGGTCAGAGCAGAGATGATGAACAGAGACTGCCACATCTCTGACTGCGCTTGCTGCTCAGACATCTTGTTCTTTGTTTCTTAAATCTCCCCCTTAGTGTGCTGCCAAAGGTTTGCTGGTATAAAGTAGCTCTAGATACGGAGGTGTTTGCAAGTGTAAGACTTTCTCAGTTGGGGACAGCCTGTCTTTTTAACTGAACAGTGTGTGTTGGTGTACCATGGCATTAGTGGTTAGTGTTTCTAGAGTACAGTGGAAGCTCAGCCCTTTGCTGTTTTTTTTTTTCAGAAGCGATAGAAGAAGCCTAGACCCATGTACAGATACCACTTGCTTATTGTCCTTTTCATCTGTTTTCTAGGTGGTAGCACGACGCTCGGATCTGAAGCTTGTTGTCACCTCTGCCACCATGGATGCTGATAAATTTGCCTCTTTTTTTGGGAATGTTCCCATTTTCCACATTCCTGGGCGCACCTTTCCTGTTGATATTCTTTTCAGCAAGGTGTGGTCAATATAGTAGAGTTTGTGTTGTGAAGGGGTTGTAAGGGTTGTAACTTAGGTATGTCCCGCTCTGCAGTGATCAGAGAGGAAAGACAAGGGATAGCTATGTTATGATGCAGTCCTATACACAAAGTGGGGCAGGTGAGATTACTGGTGTCTAATGTGAACTGTGTCTTTCAGACACCTCAAGAGGATTATGTGGAGGCTGCGGTGAAACAAGCTCTGCAGGTCCATTTGTCTGGTGCACCTGGAGACATCCTTGTCTTCATGCCTGGTCAGGAGGATATTGAGGTGAGTTGTTTGGCCATGAGCAAGCAGTGTGCCCTTGTGGCCAAGAAAGCTGATGTTATCCTGGGGCGCCTTTAAAAGAGGGTGGCCAGCAGGTCATGGGAGGTGATCCTCCCTCTCTACTCTGACCTGGTGAGGCCACATTTAGATTACTGTGTCCAGTTCTGGGCTCTCCAGGTCAAAAAAGACAGGGATCTCCTAGAAGTCCAGCAGGGGGCCACAAGGATGATAAAGGGCCTTTGGGGCATCTCATGGATGAGGAAAGGCTGAGTAACCTGGGTCTGTTCAGCCTGTGGAAAATGGTTGGACTTGATCTCTTGAGGTCCATCCCAACCCCTGCAATTCTGTGATTCTGAGTCCTATTTTCTTAATCGTATGTTAACACTCCTCTTTGTGTCTAGGTGACTTCAGAACAAATTGTGGAGCACCTTGAGGAGCTGGAGAAGGCACCTGCACTTGCTGTACTGCCCATCTATTCTCAGCTGCCATCGGACTTACAAGCCAAGATATTCCAGAAGGTGCTGATGTGTACTCTGATGGGACTGGGCAGAGGTGAAACTAGCACAGGGAAGGCTACTGGGCATGAGGGAGAGGTGCAGAGATGTCTTTTGTGTGGTATTTATAGAGCAAGGGAAAGCACGTGCCCACTTTAACTTCCTAAGAAGTCACCCATGTTGTTCTAAGTTCTTTATGGCTGCTCTGCAGTCTTCCTCAGTGGTGCAGAGGCTGTTGCCCAAGGAATTTGACTGATGTGTGGTATGTTTGCAGGCTCCAGATGGGGTCAGGAAGTGCATTGTTGCCACTAACATTGCAGAGACCTCACTGACAGTGGATGGTATCATGTTTGTTATTGACTCTGGATACTGCAAGCTGAAGGTAAGCAAAGGTTTCCTATACTGTCCATGGATCTCTGGCATTGGGTTGATTGAGCTCTGTGACAGTGACCCAGCCTTTCTCTTTCTTCAGTCTGCTCTCCTTGCGCCCTCCAGGTTTTCAATCCCCGTATAGGCATGGATGCACTGCAGATCTACCCCATCAGTCAAGCCAATGCCAATCAGAGAGCTGGCCGAGCTGGCCGAACAGGCCCAGGTCACTGCTTCAGGTAGGCTCCTTGCTGGTGTTTCTATTCTTATCATAATTCATGTCTGGACATCTGGCTACGTATTTTTTTCCTCGCCGAAGAGCTAGCTGTTCACTGTCTTGAGCCTACTGTGGGTATGAGGTTTCTGGACAGCCTTTCTGGTTTGGACCCAGCGTCTCTGCAGAGTATGCTCTCATTTCTTCCCTTGCCAGTCTTCACTTGTGACTCTTTCCATCTTTGCTGAACCAGATGCATTAATGCTCTCAGGTTAATAGCCAAGCCAAAGGCAGCTTTCTCAAGGCTTTTCTTTGAGGCTGGTTTGCACCCAGGGAAAGACTGTGTTTGAGAGAGGTGTACCTTTGCACTGCAGCCCAGGTGCTCTTATGTGCTGGGGAGGCTGCACGGTGGCCTGAGGAAGAACTTCCTTAGGGTCCTGCTTGTTGGCATGGGTGAGTGCAGAGCTGCTGCTTTGTGCTGTGCCTGGTGGAGTTGGGAATGGATGGTCATTCAGTGAGGAACACAGTGGCCTGAAGGGGAGGGGAAGGCTCTTGGCATCTTTCCCCCAGGCTCTACACCCAGAGCGCCTACAAGAATGAGCTGCTGACAACCACGGTGCCTGAGATCCAGCGCACCAACCTTGCCAATGTAGTGCTTCTGCTCAAATCTCTGGGGGTACAAGACCTGCTGCAGTTCCACTTCATGGATCCGCCCCCTGAGGACAACATGCTCAACTCCATGTACCAGTTGTGGATTCTGGGAGCCCTGGATAACACAGGTACTGGCTACAGGGGTGGGCTGTCAGCTCACACACAACTGCTAGGACCTGCCCACCTGCTGATTATTACAGTATTCCTCCAGGTGGTCTGACCTCTACAGGACGTCTGATGGTGGAGTTCCCACTGGATCCTGCACTCTCCAAAATGCTCATTGTTTCATGTGACATGGGTTGCAGCTCTGAGATATTGCTCATTGTTTCCATGTTGTCTGTGCCTGCCATCTTTTATCGGCCTAAGGTACTTGTTTGATCTTTCAGCAGCTTGGCGCCTTCATCTGCACTCTTGACTGACGTGTTCTTTGCTTATTCTTCAGGGCCGAGAGGAAGAGAGCGACCAAGTGCGGGAGAAATTTGCTGTCCCAGAGAGTGATCACTTAACTTACCTGAACGTTTACCTGCAGTGGAAGAACAACAACTACTCTACTCTGTGGTGCAACCAGCACTTCATTCATGCCAAGGCCATGCGGAAAGTGAGGCTGTGGCAATGAGGTTTGGAGAAGGAGCCTTACATGGGAGAGGGACGTGACTGTTGTGTTTCTGTGCAGGTGCGGGAGGTGCGTGCCCAGCTCAAGGACATTATGGTGCAGCAGCGCATGAGCCTTGCATCCTGTGGTACTGACTGGGATGTTGTCAGGAAGTGTATCTGTGCTGCGTATTTCCATCAAGCTGCAAAGCTGAAAGTGAGAGGGGTCTCTGCTCATCTGGGTGATAAGAGACCCTCTCCACTGGGAATGGGTGTGCTAACCTCACTTCTCCTGTGCAGGGCATTGGGGAGTACGTCAATATCCGTACAGGCATGCCTTGCCACCTGCACCCCACCAGCTCCCTCTTTGGAATGGGCTACACGCCAGACTACATTGTATATCATGAGCTGGTCATGACCACCAAGGTAAACTTGAGCTGAGGGCTAGCATGAAGGGTAAGCTGTGCTCCAAGGGACCTGAGAAGCTTTGCCTTGATAGTAGAATCTAGGAAGGTCCCGTTTTCAGCCTTTCTCATCTCTAGCAACTGGATGTGTCTGTGTAGTCGGCAGTGTCTTGTCCCTTTTGTGATATCTTCCTGGCTTATGGGGGATGTCTTTTAGTCTCACTAACTCCAGGTTGTAGCTTTTGAAGTCAGGAGGAATTGTCCGGAAAGGACAACTGCCATCAAGAAGTGGAGGAGGGAGGGAGCTGCCATGGCTCTGTCAGTGATGCCCAGGCCCTTGTCATGCTGCTAACTGGATCTTCTGTTACCGCAGGAATACATGCAGTGTGTCACTGCTGTGGATGGAGAGTGGCTGGCAGAGTTGGGCCCCATGTTCTACAGTATCAAACATGCTGGCAAGTCACGTCAGGTGAATTCTCCTTTCCAGGACCTAATGGGAGACAAACAGCGGGCTACTACACTGGAAGGGAGAGTGTGTGCCTGGGTGGAGTTCCTGCTGCATACAGCCCCGCTGCACACCTGTTATGGTGGAGGAAGTTCGAGCTAGTTTTTTGTTTTGTTTTTACATAGAGAGATCAGGGTTGTGGGCCTGTGGAAAGTCTGCTGCTGTGCGGGTCTCTACCTGTTCCTGATTTGCTGCTCCTTTACTGCAGGAAAACCGCCGACGTGCAAAGGAGGAAGCATCTGCCATGGAGGAGGAGATGGCTCTGGCTGAGGAGCAGCTGCGTGCCCGCCGGGAGGAGCAGGAGCGCCGTAACCCATTAGGCAGCGCAAGGTGAGTGCTGACACTGTAGGTTTCCTGTTTAAGAGCTGCATGGAGGATCCCAACTTTCCCACAGGTGTTCCTGGTGCAAGAGATGTTTTCATCTTACGCTGATCACCATTGTCCTTTCCTGGCAGATGTACTAAAATCTATACGCCTGGACGGAAGGAGCAGGGGGAGCCCCTGACGCCACGACGCACCCCGGCCCGCTTTGGCCTCTGAGAAGGGAGTGCTCATTGCTTCGAGGCATGAAGACTTCCCAGGAGCTGCTGAGTTTTAGGGCTCAGTCCCCTCAGTTCTGAGTGCTGTGAGGCTCTCTACAGCCCGTGGCCCAAGAAGGCTTTGATGCTGTGTATTATTTTTGCTACAGAAGAGAAATAATTTTATTTGTTTAAAGGTTGTCAGTCTTTAACCCTTCTGTTGTTTTGTGTCACTTCTCATCCTGGAGGTGAGTTCCAGGCAGAGACAGCCCTGCCAAGTTCTGCAGGGCTCGTGCAGTCAGGTCGTTGCCCTGTAGAGCCTGGGACAAGGCAAAGAATTACATTGACATGAAGGACAAAAACAACCTGTGCCTGACCCAGCTCTGGCCTGGACTACTGCAAAGGCAAGTCTTCCATGACCTGTATCCTGGGCAGGCAGCTAGTGCCTAGCTGTCCCTGTACACAAAAGAGCATCAGCTTAGCACTGTTTTGGGCCAGGTTGACTGTTACTCTCCTCACCTTCATCTGCTCATGATTATGGTACTGTACGTGTGTTCTAGCCCTGAAGTATGTGTTTTCCACATGCAAGCTGTCCGGTGTGTCTTGAAGATGTCTGGAGGACAGACAGAGGAAATAAGGTGAGGTGAGGTACTGGTGCAGAGAGACAGCCTTGCTCTGCTGGCCTTGCAGGAACTTGGGTAATCCAGCAGTTCATCTGTCCCATGTACCCCTGTGGGTGGCAGTAAGGGCTCAGACCCGCTCCCCGTGTTCATTACTTACTGGTTTTCACCTGTGAACTCTGCAGTCTGTTTGACTTGCTGCTGGATCTTGTGGTGTTGTTTCTCATTTGACTGCCTGAAAATGAGATGTAGGCTGAATTAGTTGTGAGAAGGCAGCCATCGGCTCCCCTCTACTTGTGTAAGGCTTCTTACTCACATCTGCTCTTTCACACTCTGGCTGTTATTGATCAGCATCAGATTCCTGTCCTGGTGCAGCCTACTGCTATTAGAACAGGCTGGGGTGTGGGAAGTATGCAGGGCTTTTACCTAAAAAAAACAATGCTCTGTGCTGTGTGTGGAGGCAGCAGCCTCTGGGGCTGAGCTGTGAGTCTGCAGTTGCCTGTGTCTTGGTATAGCTGTTCTGGAATGAAGGAACCATTACCTCAGCAGTCTGGACAGAAACTTAATGTCATACTGAGGGCACCTTTCTAGCAACAGAGGAAAGTGGACTACTTAAAGAAGAACAAGATGTTGGCATGCTGCTGCTTACAGACCCACCGCCTCCTCCTCCCTTGGTGTTGGCTCTGCAGTCAGCGCACTCGTGGCCTGGCCTTTCCACCTTTGCCCTGCCTGTAGGCCAGGATCTGTCCTTCAGCGGTGCCTGGGGCTCAGGTTGCAGTCCTCCTGCCCTTGGGCCGTGGTTCCGTCTGTTCTTGGCCTGAGCCTGTCTCATGGCCTTGATGATTTCTTCCTTGAAATCCATCTCTGCGTTGCAGACAGACAGTTCATCCTCCCGTCTAGCCAGAGCTTGCTGAGTGTCCTGGTGTAACTCCTGCCAGTACTGAACTTGGCTGCTCAGCTTTTGCAGCTGCTCCTGGAAGGAGCGGGCCTGCAGTGGCACAGAGGGGTGACGAGACATGCAGGCTTAGCACAGGTGCCTAGTGGGAAGGCTCAGGTCATGCTTACCTCCTGCTGGCTCTGCGCCTGGGCCCTCTGTTGCTTCTTGAGTTCCCTGTGGAGCTGTTGCCTCTCTTCCTCATAACGACCAAGGAGTGGAAGATTGTGGCCTATCTTTCTCTGGGCTTGGGCCAGCTCTGCCTTCAGGGATGCCACTTCCTCCACCTGCATGAAAAAGGGCGGGTCTGGGAGTGGCCAGACAGGAAGATGGAGCTGCACCCGGGGCCAGCGCTCAGGGCTCTGTCCTGCTGCTGAGGCAGAGGGAGCTGCATGGCAGCCGGCTGCATCTTGTGGTTGCCCTGTTCCTGCCATCACCTGCTCTAGCAGCTCTGACATCTTCTTTCTGCTCGAGGCTGCTTTCTGCTGTAGGTCGTGGATTGTCTGCTTGTGTCTACTGAGCTGCTGCAAGCTTTGCATCTCCCTGGCCTTGGTGGCTGTCAGCACCTCTTGCTGCTTTTCCAGGCTCTGCTGCAGGGTCCGGTTCTGCTCCATCTGAGCCTTCAGCTGCAGAAAGGTTCCACATGGGTGGAAGCCACAGTGCTGTGTCACTGCTGCTTCCTGTGCCCTCTCCCTGTGGATTCCAGCTCTGTGCTGCATGGGCTTTGTTGCAGATGCTGGGGTGCCTGGTGCACCAGGCTGAGCCCCCTAGTGCCCGAAACTTGGCTTGCTGCCCTACCTGCTTCTTCAGGGCTTGGAGTTGTTCTTGGCTCTTCTGTAGTTCCTGTTTGGCATGGGCAGCAGCATGCATGTGTTGCAGTGACTGCTCCAGAGTCACCTGCTGCTTCTGCTGCCACCGGCTCAGCTCCATCTGGAGCCACACTGCCATCTCCCTGCAAGCACGGCCACAACTGGAGCAGCCCTGGGTCCCCTCCCTCTACAGCGAGGACGCAGGGCAGGGCTCTGCCTGTGCTGGGGCATGGGATCAGCGCCCACATACCTGCTTTCTGCTACCTCCTGCGGCGCTCGCAGCTCCACTATGCTGCTGTCAGCTGTGTGCTGCATGCTACCCCTTGCACAAGAGCATGGCTGTTCCTCTGTGCACTGCATGGTGCTCCCTGCACTCGCCTGCAGCTGTTCCTCCTCGTGCTGTAGGTGGCTTTGGGCTGCCAGTGACTGTGCTGGGACCTGGGCTGCTTGAGACAGGGCTGCTCGCTGGCACTGCCTCCTTCTGCCCTGAGCTTCTGAGAGAAGAGGAGCAGGACTCAACCCAGCAGCGCAGATCAGGGACACTGAATATCCTCAGAACTCCTGGGCTGCTTCCTGCAGTGCTCAGGGCCCTGTGTGCCATGGGCCATGTGCTACCTGCTCACCACTCCAGAACTGCCTGGGGTAACACTGCCTTGTAAGTGCAACCAGTGATGCCTCAAATGCACATAGATCCTTCTTACCCTTTCCCCTACATTGCACCAGGATATGCAGAGTGCTGCTATAGTATATGAGCATGGCAGCCCTGGGCTCCATGCTGAAGCTGCCAGAGCAGCAGGCTGCAGGCTTCACTTGTCGTGGCCTCATTAGCATAGATGTCTCTCTCCATGCCCTCCTACCTTCCTTAGCAGTACTGTGCCCTGTTGATGTTGTGTCCCGTGCCCAGCACTGATGCTCCTGGGCTTCCCACCTCTGTCTGCAGTGCTCTGTGCCTGCTTGCATGGCCACCTGTGGGAGCAGCACGGTGTTGGGGCATTGCCTGCCAGCTCCTGGCAGTCCGCACGCTGGCACTGTGCCCGAGGCACAGACCTGCTCGAGTTGCTCTGTGTACTTCTCCAGGAGATCATCACTTGCACTGGAACTACTACAGGAATCTGCAGAAGTGGCCTCTATCTGAGCTGTGTCCTTCTGGTCCTGTGGAGAGGTGCAGAGCTGTTTGTGGGCCCCCAGCAGAGTGCACTGCGCCATGCTCTGCCCATGAAGGGGCTGGGACTCGAGATGGAGAAAGCTAAGCTGGGACAGCCTGATGGTAGTGGACTTTAGAACGGGTTTTTGGTAAAGGGACACGGCCAGCCCCATGGGGCTGCAGCTCCTGGCCCCTGGTCCCTGCCACAGTGCCCTTCCCATGGTGGCAGTATCTCCTGTCTCCCCGCAGCCCTGTGCAGCAGCCCCTAACCCATGTTGGGGTGCAGAGGAGAGCTGCGAGCCCAGCTCCATGGATCCCAGGCTGCAGGTGCCACATAGGGGCTGCAATCACCCAGCTCTGCTCTGTTGAGCAGACAGGCCCACTACAATTGTGCCTGCTTGGAGTGGGAGTGTGGTGCTGCGTTCTCACCCTGCGCATGGCAGCTAGAATGTGCCCTGTGCTCTGTGGGCTGGTCACTGCCCTCTGCAGTGCTGTTGGGCAGCAGTGGTGCCTCACTAGGTCTGAGATGGCTGCAGGGGACCCGTGGCTGAGGGTGGGGAATTTACACAGCCCAGCCTGTGGCCTTTGCTGGACTGGGCAGCGGTACCTGCTCCATTATTGCCCGGTAATGATGCTTCTGAGAGATCAAGTCCTGGTGCTTCTGCTCCACCACATGCTGCTGCAGATGCAGCTGGGCCAGCCGTATGTTGTTCAGGTCCCTGCAGATGTCCAAGTCCACCTGCAGCATCTGTAGGAAGGCTCGTGTGTCCTGCTGCTGTGAGTCCTGGTGTGTCTGTGCCCCTCCATACTGTGGCTCTAGCACTACTGCTTCTCTCTGGCCCTAGGACACAGCGTGAGCAGCAGCTTGTCTGTCTCATGTCTGTGAGTGGTATCCAGCGTCAGCCCACTCTGTAGTCCCTGACAGACACTGGGGGCTGGACAGACGTGCAGCGGGGCCAGGTTTTGGTCAGCAAGCAGCACCAGACTGCTGGGTGCAGACCTCTCCCCAAGTGTGTGTTCAACCATCTCCTAGAAGTCTCAGGCACTATTGCTGCCCAGCTCTGCAGCATGCTGGTGTAACCTGTGGCAACTGTGAAAAATGGTGGCAGTTGCACCAGTGCAGCTGCTGCAGAGCCGGATGCTCCTCCCCAAGCCCTCGCACTGTTCCCAAGCCCCAGGGGTGGGCTCTCTGTTGGCACAGGTGATGGCTGCCAGGGCCTCCCCACTGCCTGCCCACCAACCTGCAAATGCACACCCACTGCCTGACACTGCTTACCTGGGACTGAGAGGACTCCATCTCTTGCTGCTGCTGCTGGATGTGGCTGCTCTGTTCTGCCATGGTCACCTCTGCCCCTCGCAGTACTCCCTGGGTCTCCTTAGACTGGCATCTCACTTCAGGAACCTCCCTGCATGTGCCATATTCTGGTCCCATTCTCTCTGCTGCAGAGACCAGAGCATGGAATAAGACAACACAGACAGCCCTGGGTCCCGTGGAAGGGGGCAGCCAGGGACATCACCCAGGCCTGCTCACACCATTGGTGCTGCAGCTTCCAGGAGCACCTGCTGCCTGTGAAGGGAAGGCACACGGGGCTCACCCAACCCCAGCAGGATCAGTCCCTCCTCTCCAGGGTGCAGGGCCCCAGCGGTGCCTGCAGCTCTCACCTCCCCGCATCACTCTCCTTCCCCTTGCCCATGCTGCATCCCAGGCATGGCATGGCACTCTTCCCACTACAGCCCAGCCCTGGTCTTGTTCTGAGGACAATGCCTAGAACCAGAACCCGGTGACACTGTGCCTGGCCCAGGTTGTTGCACAGCAAACCATCACTGTGCCCAGTGCTGGCAGGGGCTGAATCTTCTGGCAGCCTTGTACCAATCTCAAGTATTCACACCCTCACGTCTCTGTGCCATCCTCGTGCCGCACTCCAGCCACGCTGCTGAGGTGCAGAGTGGAGCTGTGCTTGGTGCCATAGGTGCTGTACCCTGGGATGGCTGCATCCCGGCGGGGCTCACAGAGCTGCACAGTGCTGCCAGAGGAGGGATTGACTGCATCGACGGCGGCTGCTGCTCCGTGCTTCTGTCCAAAAAGGTAAAAGTAACAGGAACAAGTTGTCGGAAATTAAATTTCAATTTCTCCACGCCCTTCCCTGTCTGCGCGGCTTCCCAGCATGGATCAATAGTGTTTAGACAGCCAGGAAGATTTTTTTCCCCTTTTAAAGCACCAGATCAATAGTGGGAAAAAACACAGCACTGATCCCTCTGCTACACAAGCTGTGGTACCCAAACAGCTTGGCCCTGGCAGCCCCGGCAGCACAATGCCCACAGCACGGGGGTCTGGCACAGCTGCTGGAGAAAATGAGGTCCAAGGGTGCTGAGCGCAGCCCTAACACTACTTGGAGGCTCAGGGGTAGGTGTTGTAGCCATGGGTGTGGGAAGGCCTGGAGGAGCTGACGTGATACAGATGAGCTCCCAGCTCCATCTGCCATGCCCTCACCACACTCCGCAGTTCCATGAGTGCTGTTTTAGCTAGGAATTGGCACTGCTGTGCAGAACTGCTGTGCTGAATTTAGCCTTAGTTTCTGCCAGTGCAAGAGAACAGCATTTCCCAGCAGCACCGTACTGTGCCGAGCCATGCCAAACTGTGCCAGGCTGCTTGCCCTCCCTGCCTGCTGCTGGGAGAACGTGGGGTTGAAGCAGTTGCTCCGTTGGGTGAGCCGGCACCACATGCCGAGCAGCACTGGGGTTGGAGCCGTCTCTCTTTAATTACTGCCGCAATGTTATTCTTTTCAGTGCCACGTTAATTGAAATTAAACAGCTGCCACATTCTGGCTGGGACAAAAGTGAATCCATTTTCATTCCTCTCTGGTGTAATGAAGACTGACATGCTGTGAGGAAACAAAGGCGATCCAGCTGCTGCCTCCAGCCACACACACACGACAATTACCAGGGTGCCGTGCAGCCCAGCCTGCGCCACTGATGGGCACAGCAGGGAATGCAGTGCCCATGTTCTGGGGGAACCACAGGAACACTGCAGTGAGCCCAGATGCTGAGCCCAGGCCCTGGTTCCGTTTGTTGAGATGAGATGAGCCACAGGGCCACGTGTGGCACTGCCCTTCTGCTTGCCCTTGCTGTCGGGTTCACCATCTCTGCAGGGTTACCCGTCTCGGTGGGCTCACTGCTGGCAGCCCCACATGGCCCCAAAGCCTGAACAAGGTAGGAGCTGAGAAAGGTGTCTCCACCCTGTCCTATTCCTTCTTCTTTTTTAGGACCAAGTGTATGTTCGTGATGCCATTCAGTACTTTAAGATATGCAAAATGAGGCACTGGTGCAAACCTCATTAACACTCGCCTCCAACATCATTAAGATGTTTCCAAGAAAATTAATTGAGAGACTCATTAAAAATAAATTAAGAAAAATGCGTTGCAGAGCGCCTGCTCCGAGCTCGTAAATCACGGCCCAAAGCTCCCGGCTGCAGCGCAGGCAATTAACGGCGGCCGATTTGTTTTATCCTGACTGCGAAAATTAGAAAGCAGACGTGGAGATTAGATTAGGGACGTCTGTCAAGCGGAACTCGGAGTGAATATTTTAGGATACTAAATAGAAATCGGTAAAACAAAGCCAAGACTCCGTTCATAGCAGGCAGGCAGAGGTGCAGAAGGAGGAAGGAGCGCAGCACAGCATCCCAGGAGTGGCACTGCGGTGCTTCAGTGTGCACACACTGCTGTGTGTAGCCACAGCCTGGAGAGCAGCACCCACTGCTCCTCTGTGCCAGCATGCACAGCCTGCTCTGGAGCTGCTGCACTGCACAGCCGGAACCAACGCGGCACTCTGTGCACACAGCCGTCCCCAAAGCCTGGACCTGCGGGTCCCACAGCACTGCTGGACGGTGTGGGGCTGAAGGTGGTTCCTCACAGCCATCCTGAGAGAGCGATGTTTAGAACAGTGTCCCTGTTTTTGCTGCACTCTGAAAATCAGGAAAAATCTCTGGATACAGAGAGCATTAAATCATTACATCCTTTGTTGTCTGGTCCCCTTTGTTCAGCCAGGCACAGCGCCCGTGTCCTGAGGTGCAGGTCCAGCTCCCTGCGCACCCTGCAGCTCCAGGCAGTGCTTTAGAAGGATGTCTGTCCATGTATGCAGGACATTTCAGAGCTTAGAAGTCCCCTGCACTTTAACTGCCTTTCTGTGGCAGCTCCTTCCTTGCTGCACCTGCCCCAGCATGGAGGGAATGCTGCCTCTGAGCCATCGCTACTTGTGATTTCAGTTCAATTTCAGTATTTATTGCCTATGCTAATAATGTAATGTCCTGAGAACCCTGTCTGGTTGGGTACCCAACTTACTGGCACCAGTGCAGCACACGCACACTGCTGGAAGCACCTTTCCCAGCTGCTGCCTTCCCACCCCTGATCATTGGTACACGGTGCCTTTCCCAGCCCATCCCAGTGCTGCTGCTGGCTCTGCTGGCTCCGTTCTCTCCAGAACGTCTGTTTTGCAGCTAAAATTTTCCATGCTGAGCCTTTGCCTGAAGATGCACTTAATTCAAATGTTTGATTAACCTCCTTTCAACTATTTCTGAGTTATGGAATGAGTGGAAAAATACTCGCATGTAAGAACTTACTGGTGTTAAAAATAACTCTGACCGCAGGAAAAACTGCTGCATTTTTTTCAGCTTAACCAGGCTTCGTCCCCACAGGGCTTCACGCTTCCCCCGGAAACAAACACAGCAGCAACGCCTTTGGGTGTGCTCAGATGGCAAAGCCTCAGCCTGGAAGGGGATGGAGAGAAAAAGGGAAATGTGAAGGGGAAGAGGAAGGCTTACGAGAAGGGGAAAGGAGAAAGGAAGGGGAAAAGGGAGGGAAGGACTCCCACTTTTTCTCATCCTCCGTCCCATTTTTTTGGCTCCACTTCATTGACTGCCTTTCCACCTGTTTTACACCTTCCCATCCTTTTTCGGTCTCCACTTTCAAGCTGGTGAAAAAGGGTGGGGCCAAACTAAAAAGTGGAGGCCAAAATGGGTGGAAGTCCACAGAAGCGCAGACACCGTAAAAGGGCGAGCAGGTGGCAAGAGGCTGGAAGTCAGGAAAAGGAGGGAGGATGAACGCGTGGGAGGCCAGAGGCCAGGAGAGGTCTGGGTGAGAGGCGAATGCCAAACAGGACCAGGAGGCTGGAGGGCTTAAGGGCAACCGAAAGGAGCCGACGGGGCGCGGTCAGATCCCCCCGCTCGTGTCTGTCTGTCTGTTCGGCAGCGCCCGGCAGGGGTCGCCCTCGCCCCGCGCTCCCCGCGTTGGCCGCGGTGTCGGCGGCGGCTCCTCCCGCCGGGGCGCGGCGCTGCGGAGAGGAGCGCGGAACCTTTGTTCTCCGGAGCCCTCCGGCAGCCCCGCCCCGCGCTCCGCCCGCGCCGCAGCGCCCCCTCCTGGGCCCGGCGGGAGTTGCCGTCTCGATTCGCCGCTCGCGGAGACGGGGCGCTGCCTCGGTCACGGAAAATGCCCGGCGGGAGCGCGGCGCGGCTCAGAGGTCCGGGCTCGCGGCGGGGCTGCACGCTGCGGTAGAGCGCGACGGCGCAGATTCCGTCAACGTTCCCCGACCGTATGCTGCTCCGAGCCGGACTCCGTCCTTCGGATCCACGGGGCGCCTGGTGGGGCCCCGGCCCCCTCACAGGCACACGGCCCGGGCGGGAGCGGCGGTCGCGCGGAGATGTCACATCACATCCCGGGCCGAAGCCGACGGGTGGATGGGAAGGGAATCCCGTTCCACCCGCAGTGCCCGTTGGGTTCGGAAGGGAAAAGAGAGCAGAGTCTCTGGAATCTTAATGAACTGTAAAGGTTATTCCTCTGCCGCTGTAGTGATAATTTGCAATTCTCTGTTAGCAGAAGAGGGTATTGGCTCCAATCACATCTGGGTACCGTCTGGAGCACACTGTGTGTTCGGCTGCTGAGGAATATCAACAAATACAAATTATCAGCAGCGTGGCCAGAGTCTGCAGGGGAGAAATAACAAACGGGGAAGGCTTGCATGGATTTGCATTCTGCAATGAAAATGATCTCATTATTCTTTCCAGAGACTCAGCCAGCTACTTGAAAAATAGGAAAAAAACACTGCAACTCTGGAGAAAGAGCCCCTCCAGAGCAGGGAGAGAAAACTGAGCAGGAGGAAACAGCATCAGTGGCAGAAATAGGTGGGAGGCTGGCCTGCAGTGTGCCCAGCACCTGCTGGCAGCCAGCACCACTGTGGGAGCAGGCAGAAGCACTGAGAGGCATAGGAGTGTGAGAGCAGGTCCTGGTCAGCCCCAGCCCTGCACAACTGGAGGTGCTCGGCAGCCCAGCCCAGAGCTCCTTGGCAGTGCCCGTGTCCCAGCAGTGCCTCTCACAGCTGTATGCCATCACAGCGACCACCCCCACCGCTGTTACTGCACTGTGCTTCCGTCTGCCTGTAGGCAGAGAACATAGATAGCCGCACAGGAGCTGCCATGTGTTTCTGTAAGATCCGCGTGCTGGAAATAAGCAGAAAGCAGAAATACTGTAGGAAGGGAAAGGAGTAAAGAAAAAGCAGCACTGCTTAGGTCTGGTCACAGAATGTGATGCTTCCTGCAGCTGTAGCCCACAGAGAGAGGAATGATGCTCCTGGACAGCTACTTCAGTGTCAACTTTGGGGATTTCCTCCTGCATCAGCAGCAACAAAACAAAAGAGGAACAGGGGTTGAGGGGGACTGCATAAATGAAAAGACTCCTGTGACGGGGACCAGAGGGAGAGCTCAAACATGAAAGGGGGAGGCAGGTACAGGACTGTAAAAAGAGCCGGAGAGGGACCCTCATGCCTTTCTTTTCTGTAAGGTTAAGTTTCACTCTGACCCTATAGCAGAAATGCTGAGTCACAGCCTGTGATTGAGCACCTGGTGGGAAGGCAGAGCCAGCCCAGGGGAGCTCAGGTGCATGCAATGTACCTGAGTGATGGAAGAGGTGGGGCCAGGATCCTCCCTTGCCCAGACCTCATTTAAGGGTTGGCAGTGGGAGTAAGGTTATTTCTCTGCTGATTTCTGGCTACTGCTGGCTTTTCAAAGGTAAGCTGTCTGTGGTTGCTGTGTTTGGGCTTGTTCTTGTTTGCTGTAGCATAAGACTGTGCTATTCTGCTATTAATGTTGTACTTTCCATTGTATTATAGCATTGCACTTGCTGGCCCAGGCAGGTGCTTATTCACAGTGGGTTACCTTAAAAAAGAATTATGTATTGGATAGTCACTGAGACCCTGAGTACACTGAAAGAGGAACTTCTGGGGAAAACCCTGGGGTTCCCTGGTTTCTCCTGGCTCAGCACTGCTTGGGTTATTAAAGAATGGAGACCTATAAGAGACAATGGTTCTGTTATAACTGGTAACTGCTCAGCTACTTGTGTGGCAGGGGATGCTGGCCCCTCTGTAGTAAGGGTCTCCAGACAGGACCCGGGGCCCTGTGTTAGACTGTTTTTTTGGTCCTGAAAGAATATACAGTGAGTTATGGCAGTAGTTGAGAGGGGTGCAGAAACATCAATTATTTGTGGTGATCCAACCACATTCCGGGGAGACAGGGTGGTGATTGGTGGGTTTGGGTGACAGACCATAGAATCACAGAATCACCAAGGTTGGAAAAGATCATCCAGTCCAACCGTTCACCTATTCCCAATAGCTCCCACTAAACCATGTCCCTCAACACAACATCCAGCCTTTCCTTGAACACCCCCAGGGTCGGTGACTCCACCACCTCTCTGGGCATCCATTCCAGTGCCTGACCACCCTTTCTGAACAGTAATACTTCGTCATGTCCAGCCTGAATCTCCCCTGCCGTAGCTTGAAGCCATTCCCTCTGGTCCTATCACTAATGACACGAGAGAAGAGGCCGACCCCCAGCTCACTACAACCTCCCTTCAGGAAGTTATAGAGAGCAATGAGGTCTCCCCTGAGCCTCCTCTTCTCCAGGCTGAACATTCCCAGCTCCTTCAGCCTCTCCTCATATGGCCTGTGTTCCAGACCCCTCACCAGCTTTGTTGCCCTCCTTTGAACACGTTCCAGGGCCTCTATCTTTCTTGCAGTGAGGGGCCCAAAACTGGACACGGCCTCAAGTACCATCCTTCTAACCCAGATATGGTTGAGGTTGGGTGTCCCCCCAGCCTGGGAGTATAAGGTGTCTGTTGCCCCAGTCCTGGAGTACTGGGCATAGACATCCTTTAGGGTCTGACTCTCCAGATGACTGTAGGAGAACTCAGAAAGAGAGATGTGTTAGTATCCTGGCACTGCAGGTGGTATTAAAAGGCTGTGCAAAACATGAGCCTATTTGCTTGCTCTGTGCTGGGTTACTAAACCAGTATAGACTTCCAGGGAACCAAGGGGAAATCTCTAGAACAGTGCAGGAACTAGGAAAAGTAGGAATCACAAGATCTGCACGTAGCCTGTATAATTTCCCTGTGTGGCCAGTATGGAAGTCAGATGGCACATGGGGAATGATAGTGAATTACAGAGAATTAAATAAGATCACACCACCCATTTGTATGCTATACTCAATATTGCCTTCCTGATGGACACAATGAGTAGGGAGATAGAAATCTACCGTTCTGTCCTAGACTTGGTAAATGCATTCTTCAGTGGTCCCATTCAGGAAGAATCACAAGTTTGCATTTATGTGAGGAAGCAGGCAGTGGACCTTTCAGGTCCGGCTGTAAGGGTATGTGCGTTCACCATCCTACTGTCATAACTTAGTGGCACGTGACCTAGCAGAGTGCAATAATCCTAATAACATCAAACTGTACCATTAGATTGATGATCTCATGTTAATGTCTGACTCTGTAGTTTGGTCATGGGAAATTATGAAGCTGACACAGCGGCCCGAGTCCGATGGATTGAGAATTCACCACCTGGAAATGCCGCCTGTGGGTTTCATCAGAAGCTGCAGCATGCAGGACAAAAGGCAATGTGGGCAGCTGCTAAAGCATGGGGACTGCCCTGCCCGTACAGCTACCTGACATCATCCAGGTATGCTGAGAATGCAGTGCTTGCTCCAGGAGGAGACCAAGACCGTTGCCTGAAATAACAGCCCATCTTGCTAGAGGACGCAGTCCCCTTACACTGGGCCCTTCCCTCAGTTTGAGGGAGTGAGATATGCTCTGACTTCACTGACACCTGAAGTGGGCTAGTGCAATCCTACCCAGTGCTGAGAGTGAGCCAGGCATATACCATCAAGGCCAAACTTACCAAATTGATGGCTGCCTATGGAACACCTCAAGTCATCGAGAGCGATCAAGGCACTTGTTGCACGAGCACAATGGTACAGTGCTGGGCAAAGGGAAACAACACTGATTGGAGATTCTACCTGCCGTATAATCTGACAGGGGCAGGCCTTACTGAGTGCTGTAATGGTATTCTTAAGGCTGCCCTGAGGACACTACAGACAATGTGGGCATCCCTGCTTAGGATCCGAATTATGGGCACTGATAATTGGGTAAGACCCCAGATTGGCGATGAAAATAATCTGCTCCCTGCTCCTGAAGACCTAGAACCTGTTACCCATAAAGTGGCACAAAGGAAGGACTGCAAGAACATGTCATGATTGTGTTCACCAACAGTGACTTAACTGCAGCGTTCATCTGCATTCACTGTTGGGTGTGCTTGTGCTGAATGGTAAAAGGTGGGTAAGAGCCACCAGGCTGAGGTCTGCAGGGATGAATCAGCCTCTCAGCACTGTGGTCATCTGAAGTACACGGAGCAGCCTCTGTGCCACATGGAGCTGTGAGTGGCCCTGTG